TGGTTAAGATTGTTGCCACACACCTCTGGGAGCAGGGTTCGAGTCTCCACTATTGTTCCATGTGTGTGTGGAGTTTACATGTTCTCATCTGGGTACTCTGGTTTCCCCCTACAGTCCAAAAATGTGCTGAGGCTAAAACATAAGAACATAACAAATTCACAAATGAGAGGAAGCCATTCGGCCCATCAAGCTCGTTTGGGGAAAACTTAATAGCTCAGAGTTGTTAAAATCTTATCTAGCTCTGATTTAAAGGAACCCAGCGTTTAAGCTAGCGCTACACTAACAGGAACACTACTCCATACTCTAACTAGATAGGTAGATAGATAGTACTTTATTAATCCCTCAGGAAGGTTCCTCCGGGAAATGTAGTTCCAGCAGCAGTACACAGACACATTACAGTTACAAGAAATTAAAATTTGGGGGGTGGTGGGGGAAATTAAATAAATAAATAAAATAAAAATAAATAAATAAATAAAAATAGAATGAGTACACATATATAATATAATATATACACATGCTGTGTAAAGAAGTGCTTTCTCAAATTTATTTTAAAATGTTCTCCCGCTAATTAAAAACTGGTTAAAAACTGGATGACCACTGCAAGAATAAAACGGGATGATTCGCCAGCTCAGACTGAAATAACATGCTATTATAAGCCTTGCACCTCATAAATATCATGTGGTTTGTATGTGTACACATATACGTTGTACTATACTGTTCATGTATTTCTAAGTTACGGGCACCCCTCGGTCCCACTCTGCCCGGATAAGGGAGGTTCGACTGTATAGGAGAAGGAAATACTTTTTCGCCTGACTCCCTTATTCGTCAGCTTCCCATCAAGGATTTATTTACTACTTTGGCTAATTTCCAGGAACAGGTTCCTGTGTTATTTGGGAAACAGCGAATGGCTACAGCATGTGAAAATGTGAAACCGACAGTATACTTCATTTCAAACTGTATGAACTACCGAATACTTAATACTTCTTTACTAGTTAACATATAGTTTTATTGTGAAGGTACACACATATAGGATTAATGTTAAGGGTTAAATCTAGTCTGTATACATTAGATATTAGATAATCATTTATGGCAATTGGCAAAGGCAAATACTTTTAAAATCATGAAATTCTATTATCCACTGTGATTGTCGGAGTCCCCCGATTCGTGCTAATTATTCAGTGACTGGAAAGTAAAAGGTACCGTCAGTGCAATGTAAAAATAATTGAAACAATTGGATTTACCTTTTTACGTGATTCTGATAAAAGTACATAAAGGAAACAAAAGATTATTTCACTGTGGTGTCATATCAAAACATATCACATGTATATCAGATTGATCTGGAATGTTATCATGAATATATCATTTATAATTTATTTGAACTTTTCATCATTTAAATATCATATTCTCGAAGGAGAAGGAACATCACTCACTGGAAAAATCCCTACACTGCTTGCCAGATAATTCATTTCATCAGATAAAACCATGACACTGATAACTTCATCATAGGCATGTAAGGCAAAAACTACAGCTAAGCAGGAAGTGTGTATTTATTTTTAACTACTATGTAACTAAAGGAACTGACGTAACATCACAACAGTATTGCTTACTGTAAATCACGCATGTTCTTGAGTAGAATAATGCCGTAGTACCATAAGAGAAACAAGTTTTTTTGTTGGAAAACAAACACAACTGGAAAATCCCTTGATTTTATAGGCAGGAGTGTGGATGACTAAAGATACAGAAAATTGTGAGACATACATGTACTACCGTGGGAGTATCAAACAATCTAAAAAATACATGTGCTTGGATTTGTATGAGAAATGTCAAGAATTAGCCTAACAAAACTTCAAGTTTTAATTACTGATATGGTCCATCTCTAACATCATAACATTAGAAATTCCATCCATCCATACATCCATCCATAACATCAAAAATTCCATTCATGTATCCATCCATCCATCCATTTCCTATACCCACTTGACAAATGGTAAAATGGAAACTGCACCCCCTAAATTTTTGGGAATCCAGTGTCTCTGGGAAATGTCAGACTTTTCCGCATGACCGAGTTCTAGGAAGACTTAAAATGGAAACTCGAAGATGGTTAATGATTTTTAAAATGTTTTCGTGCACAAGTAAAGCTGTTTCTGTCATGACGTGAACCTCCTTCCACTGCTCTTAAGGAGATGTAGGGCGGCACAGTCGCCTCGGGCCTCCAGCGAGAGAATTCCTCCTGGGACTGGCCTGCATGCAGGAATGAGACCACGGTGTCAATGTTCCACCAATTTGTGCAATTAAAGTCCCGTGGAAGCCTTGTCAGCCACACTGTCGAGCTTCCAAGTTGGCTTGCCACCCTTAAAACCCCTGACTCACCCTGCTAATGAGTAGCCCCCCTCTGTTCAGAATAGAGTAATTAAAAGTTGGGTTCATTCCAAAAGACTTTCTCCCTACCATCTGTTAGCAAAGAAAGGAACCAGTAGCATTGTTCCCCTTCCTTTTCCTCTTTAATTCCAATATCTCACAAATTTCTTCCTGGCATTTGTTTGGCCGGCAACAAACTCTTGCGTCCACAGGGGTACTGCCTTGCCTAAGTCGATTTTCAATAATAAGAGACCCCTATGCCTTTCATTTTCACGACGTTACTTGGTTCTGTGGTACAAACCAGTTGTCTTAGAAAAGAAAGAAACGTTAATTAAAAAGAGATCATCTGAGCAAACACAGCTGAGGGCTGAGAGTAGCCATGTGCCAGATGAACCACTGCGCTGACTGAGATTTCAGTCATCACCACTGCACTGACCGAGATTTCAGTCCTCACCACTGCACTGACCGAGATTTCAGTCATCACCACTGCGCTGACCGAGATTTCAGTCCTCACCACTGCGCTGACCGATATTTCAGTCCTCACCTTGGCATATTGATTTTCCACCCCATCCCTGATTTTCTCGACTTGTCTTGGGCTGTCTCGGGGGCTGCATAGCGACCGGTCAGCTCGGGGACTGCTAGCAGAGTCCAGTACAGACTAGCAGTTATTCTTCTCAAATCAAGATAATAAGGTGATAATGGCGATAATAATAATCTATTAGTGTCCACTCATACCTTTCAACTAAGTTATTGTAACTAAAAAAAGCCAGTGTGGAGCGATGGCTGACGTGGGCTGTTTTGCGACTCACTGCGCTTATCCAGCGCCTGTCACATTGTGTCTGGTCTCCCTTGCACTTCATTGGCCTGTAGTGTTCCCACTTCATTATCGGCTTGCCCCAGCCCAGCAGGCCATCTTGTACATCGCTTCCTTGTTGAGTTGCTTGGAAGAAAAAGTAAACTGCACCCTGTCCCAATTAATGTTAATTGACCCAGTTTGTCCCTTGACATACTTTAGAATCCGGGACGTCATCTCTGAAGGGTCAGCCAATGAGGTCACGCCTAGAGCAAAGCTGTGGCCAATGGGCTGCCAGAGGTGGAACTAGCCCAAGCACCTGACAGCAGGCACCAAAACAGAACACTAAATATGGAGAACTGCACATTTTTGTAACCTTTTTAGCTCAAGGCAGACATGTTATCAAACCATGATAAAGCTGATAATGTGATTTGGCATGTTGCCTTAGGATCATAATTCTGTTTTCCTTTTTCTATGCTTAAACACATTTTTTTATATAATGACTAGAAATTTTAAATACACAGTTTGCTCATTTTACTTTTTTACCCCTGTATAAAACATTTTATATTTGACTTACGGCTGCACTACACTAGTTGCAAGTAGTTCTGTCGATTGAAGTCGTTGAAGAATTTACCCTGGTGAGTATCTTTAAAAAGATACATTTTTCCCACATAAAACACCATATATCTTGAAAATATTTGCATAATTTTTGTGATTTGTAGTTGTTACACATAAGAAAAGTATGCCATTAAAAAGCACTAAGCTTTTTAACAGCCTAACTGCATGTTTCTCATGCCAGTCTTTTGCTGATTAAAGTTTATATGGGTTAAAGTGCAAGTAAACAGGAAATCTGACCTATTAAAGTCACTATTACTTTCATTTTCTTTACTGATGACAACAGGGAACACTATTGGGGATTTTTTATAAGAGTTATAATGTCTATGGACACCTGACTCATGGGAATCTACTTTTTGAATCCCCTTCGACACGTAAATACTCAGTAACCAAATCAATTTAAAATACAGCAAATTTCTGTTCAAATAAATTCCAAAATAGTTATTAGTTAAGAATTAATAAAATCCTTGGCAAAAATGAATGTGTTCATTTTCACATTGCTCACTTTGTAATTAATGGAGTGGGCCCTATTATAATCTTACGAATAAATTTTCTCCAAAACTTGACAAAATGTCACTATAAAAATTGTAGTTATAAACCTCAGCTGGTACATTTTTATTACGTCCTTTTCAAGCAACTAGCCCAGCATTAACAAATTGTATTTCCTGACTGTGTAGATGAGCAGTTCTTTGGCTCAGTGTCAAAATGAGAGCCACGTAATTGCATTATTCAGGGGAAGGCGTCCAGTTAATCAAACAGCTATGAGCTGAACCTACTAGCCCAGCTAAACCACACCAAAAGATAAGATCTGTCGTTCTTATATAAGATATTTAATGACTTCGCAACCTGTAAAGAGACACTGATATGTTATGAATGTATTCAAAATAAGGCCAATCACTTAAATCAGGAAGTGTTCTGGGTACAGATGTACTCTTTCAAACTGAAAGGTAATGGGTCCAAGGGCCAGGAGAGAAGCTTGGCACTTTTGAGCTATAAACTTAAAGTGGTTTTCCCTCGTGAAAGAGCAGGCTCTATAAATGGGAATATATATATATATATATATATAGAGAGAGAGAGAGCACAGTCAGTAGAACACATCATTTTAAACACCTTGATTTGCAATGTCATTGCAAATTCAGATTTTTTAAAAGAAAATTCATTCAGAAAACAATTCAGATTTTGAAGTCACGTGAATTTATCGAACCATTTCCAATTTCCGTGTTACGTGCTGGTGGCATAAGGTACAAAGGGTTTACTTTCACCAGATAATAGAATATAGCTACAAACAATACAACTGACAAATTACAAAGGCACTGTGTGTCTTAGGACAGAAACAACCCCAACCCTTACACAACTAGACATTCCTCTCCAGCAACCTCTCTTCCAAGGCATGAAAAATAAACACCTTAAACAGTAGAGGCCCCTCCTACCAGGATTAAAAAAACAAGGAGAATAGGGAGGGAAATCACACATAAATAAGCGTTTCTATGGCAAAAATACAACAAATAAATTAAATATTCACATTTAAAATCAGATATGAGTGGGGGATTTCTCAAAAAATTATACAATTAATGGCAGTTACCCAAACAACACAATGGGAAGTTCCTGTTTGGCCTATCGGCTTGAAAGCATAAAAGTAAAACTTTTTTCTTATCCTTAAATATGTATGTGTCCTTGAAAATATGCAGACGCTGTAGATAAAAATGAGTAAGGGTGAACGGAAGAGTGACATGACAAGCAGCCCTTAGCTGCCGCGACTGGGAAATTCAAGCGTATTAGTTCAGAAAGGCACTGGTGGTGCCGCCACCTTGTGTCAATAAGAGGGATTACAAGGTAAATGTGAGAAATGTCTGCTCATATTTTAAACTAAATAGCAAAATAGTTTTGTTACACCGTTTCATTGATTACAGCAGAGCACAACAGTTAGTAAGGACTTTTTAAATACAAATTTGTTAATCGAAACGCATTTGTTTAACGCAGATGATTAGATAGATAGATAGATAGATAGATAGATAGATAGATAGATAGATAGATAGATAGATAGATAGATAGATAGATAGATAGATAGAATCTGAACAGGACAGTGTATTTGTATTGTATGTCCTGTTTGCTGTTTAGGACTTCCAGTAACAGTATGACTTGTTTGACCCTCATGTTCTCCACATGCTTGGATAGACGTAAATCTCCAGGGATCCCGGGTACACTGGAAATCAACCACCGGGACCTTTATCTTGCTGATCTTCAGATGCAGGTTCTTCTGATACCTGAAGACAAGGTTCTCCAGAACAAATACACTCGTCGTCCACTGGCTGCATAAAAGATCAATAGATAGAAATAGTGTAATGATAACATAATGGGAATGATGGAAATAACGCGCCGTTGCTTTTATTGTAATGAGGCTGCGATGCCGCGTATCATTGGTGGTTGCGCTCGTCACAGCAATTGGAGGGTCCCGTGTCCATCATGCAGAATTCGCCGTGATTCCGAACAGCCGTGGCACAGCAATTGCGAAATTAATTTTTTGCACTGTTATGCTAAGATTTGTTGCTAAAATTGCTGAGATATAGAAAAACCGCAGTTACAAAAATTAGTATATATTTTCTTTTTTAAAATAAAACGGTTCGCAGAATAGTATGGGCTCTAGTAACTCCACCCTATCTAAAATTCCAAACTTGGGAAGATTAATTGAGGAAACTGGATGTAAGATTGTGTTAACTATAAATTCAGATTTACATCGACGCCATAGAACGATATTTTAAATATTTCCGAGTTTCAGATAGGAGCCAGTTCGTTGTTCGTGTGTTGTTTTGTCTCTTTACAGTAACTCGTGTTCCACGAAAGCCTGGTCATATCCGTATTATACGTACAAGACGGGAGAGGATTTTTAAAGCGCTCAACACGTTGAATTGTTCTGTCTACTTATAATACTGTCCCGTACTTTTCAGTTTTCTAATGTCATAACGAAAAATATTATATAACTACGGATGATTATGCAGTGTATTGTTATTCATATGAGATAGTGACCGAATACTGAGCGCTTTATAATTGTTTACACCATGCTTTAACAAACATACCTGTTTCAATATACTTTTGCAGTCACCCCTGCGCATATAAAACGACTGTACAAACGCTTCCAAGCATTAGACAAGGGCAACAAGGGTTATCTTAGGTGAGCCACTTTTATAACTTTGCTTCGGAGATATGGAATTGCACAATAGGCCCACCTGATTTAGGGTGGGATAGCGCTGTTACCTTAATTTTACCCCCACTCGTCGTATCAAAATGGTATTTGGACAGATTTAGTTCAATCAAAGGAAATATTGTAAAGTTAGATCTGAAAATGTGACTTGTGTTAGTCATATCAATGTGTAAATTTATTGTGAATGTATTTACTATTTGTATGTCTGGATGAATGACTGGTTGCCTATGCTTCTGTGTGTGTGTGTGTGTGTGTGTGTGTGTGTGTGTGTGTAATTTGCAGATTGTCCTCATGTCCATTTCCATTTAAGGATATGCAGTTAGGCTGACTGGTGTCCCTAAATTGCCCATAGTGTCTGTCGTTGGATAGACTAGGGTACCATTGAATGTGCTGTTCTGCTGGGGATTGGTGGACAAGTGACTTTCACCATGTTCATTGGTTTGAAGTTGGATGAAAGTATCTGATATGATGATTTTAAAAGATTTACCGTATTCTGATACTGTAATCAGTGTTGTTTATGGGATGTTCTAATATGCTCCTGTTTAGACTTGGTTTAAAAATGTGTCATGGGTGATTGCATCATAAGTAAATATCCAGGGCCGTCATCGTTTACACTGATGTCTGTCGTGGTCTCCAAGGTACCCAACTGACCACTTGTGTTCAGATTTCGTTACTGCCTGGGTCACTTCTGCTAGAAGGTCAGTTATTGTAACTTCCCTACGTGGCCAAATGCGTCCCAGACCACATCGGCAAGTGGTTTGGGTGATCGGATCACAGTACGTCTTGGTGGTCGTTTACACTTGTATTTATCTCGGTCCACTTCTGAGCCGATTGTCCATGATGCATTTTAGAACCAAGTGTAATCCTGGCCTATGATTCATTGACATGCTTTTGTTCTACTTTTTGAAAGTCCACAAGATTTTGGATCAGTTAAAGAGCTGGCAACGAACCCCATTGGCGATCGGATAATTGGAGCTTTCTTTTCACAAGGGTAAGATGATAAAATGTCTTAAGTGTTTTCAGTTTAGCGCAATAGAGTACTTTTCAGTAATGAAGAAACAAGATGACAGTAAATTAGTCAGATAACCATTATGTAATAATAATATATTACGAAACCAGTACAGGGTTCCCTGACCTTAACCACAAGTAACCAAACAAAATATGAGATTTTTACCAGCATTTTTTAGTTTTTTGATTGCATTCGCAGATCTTTGTGGGGACTCCCCACAGTGTCAAAATAGCAGGTTTTTATCACATTGTGGGGGACATTTGGTCTCCACAATGTAATTTATACACCTAATCCACACACAAACACATACACACACACACAGAAATGGGTAATTTAGAAACTCCAGTCCACATAATTGCAGGTTTTTGGATTGTAGGAGGAACGTACAGTTGCAAGAGAAAACTGGAGTGAACATGAGCAGTGGAGGCCAACTGCACATGGAGGAATTAAACCCTCAGCTTTATATTTTGATTTAGATTCTTTGTCACTCTTCCTGGAGCTGACAGTGAATCAAGGTTGTGCATGTGTTTGCATGCGGTGTTTTTCTGGCAGGCAGGAAACGGTAGACTTCCACTCTTTTGTGAGGATCCTGGCCCATTTCCGCCCTTTGGATAAGAACCGGGCAAAAAGGCCGGACAGCCCAGAGCCTATCAACAGCAGGATCAGCAAACTGAGATGTAAGCTCTTCTGCTGACGTCCAGCATCTACACTGAAAAGCATGGTGATAATCTAATTTCCTGTCCTTACATTTCTGCAGTTGCCTTCCAGCTGTACGACCAAGATAATGATGGCAAGATCTCTCGGGATGAGCTGTTACAGGTTAGTAACAGAGCCATGCAACAGTATTATTTTTTTCTATAGACCAGTGTTTCTCAACCCAGTCCGCGGCGTCCCCATGACAGTCCATGTTTTTGCTGCATCCCAGCTCCCTGCCAGACAGTTCGTGTTTTTGACCAGGAAGTAGGAGGAAGCATAAATGTGGTCTGTCTGGCAGGGAGCTGAGTGGGAGCAAAAATGTGGACTGTCTGGCAGGGAGCTGAGTGGGAGCAAAAATGTGGACTGTCTGGCAGGGAGCTGANAGCAAAAATGTGGACTGTCTGGCAGGGAGCTGAGTGGGAGCAAAAATGTGGACTGTCTGGCAGGGAGCTGAGTGGGAGCAAAAATGTGGACTGTCGGGGGGTTCCCCAGGACCAGGTTGACAAACACTAGTATAGACGATACTGTAATCTGTATTAAATGTAATAAACACTCAGTGATCCAAGTGCCATTCCTGGGGCCAAACAGACTTTATACATTGATATTAATTCAGCAGAGCATGCAGATTTAAATTATTATAATTATAATAATTGTTATTATTGTTGTTGTTTAAATATTTTAATTATTCTAATTTTTCCCTACGTTATCACTTTTATTTAAGGAACTTGTGACTTGATGATGACAATTATGATGAAGTTTCTGATCATTTAAGCAGTAAGGTTGTATGCTTGGCAGGTGCTGCCTTGGGATTGGTTGTATCTTTGGTTGGTGCTGCGTAAGGATTGGTTGTATGTTTGGCAGGTGCTGCGTACCATGCTTGAAATGCAAGTGACAGAGGAGCAGCTGGAGAGCATCGCGGACCGCACCATTCAAGAGGCAGACTTAGATGGGGACAATGCCATCTCCTTTGATGAGTTCCGGAAGGTGAATGCCGACACCTTTCTGCGCATTCCTTCCCCTGTGACTCCATCTCAGATTACTGTATGGTTAATTGTTCTGTAGGGTGGCGTGAAACACTGCATTTTAATAATGTAATAATAATGTAATAACACCGCATTGTGTAATAACTTGACAAAGTGTGAATGAATCCATCCATTTTGGATATTACATAATACACCATATTGTTATATTTTCATCATAAAAAACTCCTGCATTTTGTAATACCCACTGCTATATGTAATAATTTATTACAAAATGCAGGGAAATTTATTGCATATTGCATTCATTACACAATGCGACAGATTATTACAAAATGCAAGTGCTGTTACATAATGAAGTGAAAATATGTTACATTTTGTTGGGTTATTACGTAATGCAGTGTGAAGCAGTGCATTATGTAATAACACCGCATTATGTAGTAAGTAGTCAATGTGAATGCAGACATCAGTTTCGGTTGTTTATTACATAATGTGCCGTATTATTGCATTTTCATCATAAAAAAGTGCAACTCCTGCATTTTGTAATAACCACCAGTATAAATAATAATTTATTAACAAACGTGGGGAAATTTATTACATACTGTGTTCAAGCTGCCTATTACAAAATGGCCAAAACTATTAAAAAATGCAGGTGCTATTACATAACAAAGTCAAAATTTGCTACATTTTGACAAATTTTCACATAATGTGCTGTTAAAATGGCGTAAATCTAATTTAAAGATTAAACAAGATTCCATGTATTTCAGTTGCATAAACATCTTCAGATTTTATGTGAATATATAAGCTTCCCCACACTTTCTACATTTTTAAATTTATTTAATAAATCTGATCATCTGTAATGCAGCTGGTGGGCTGCGGGTTGAGCAGCTAAAGCCATTTGGTGATTGACAGTTCCCAGTAATCCCTCTTACTCTTCGGCCATCGTTTCTGCTTTAATGATTGGCACATGAAATACATCCCTACCCCAAGTAGCAGGTCTAACAGCGAACTTTCTCTTGATTTCACAGTCATTGGAGAAGGTGAACATTGAACACAAGATGAGCAGTCGCTTTCTGCACTAATTAGGACAAAGCTGGATGAAACTATTTTACTATTTTATGGTTAGAGCTTTGACTGGGTGGAACTACTAGCCCAAATGACTGAGCTCTCTGAGTTCTGATCATGGTTTTCACTTATTCTCATTTATTTTGTAAAGATTTTCCAAGGTATTTTATACTAAAAGGAAACCTGAAAGAAAGAGAGATCCTTTTCAGTGGCATATGACAAATGAGGGAGACAGTATTTGTAAAGATGCTGTTGGACAGCTGTTATTGATAGAGCAAGGAGCAAAGAGTAATATAGTCAGCAGAGGAAGAGGAAACTAGCAGAGCAAGTCAGCAGACTTACCCTAACAAGGTCTACTTTCATAATAATATTACAATTATATTAGCACATTATATTCAATTTCTGTTTATATAATTTCTTAGATGTACATGTCAGTATTATGTGGCCAATATTTGTGGTTTATTTTTGTGATGTGAAACATTAATAGTGTTTTGCAAGCTCAGAGGCTTGGACATCTAACATCATAACCTATACTGTAATAAAATCTTGCTTTTCAGTGCGTGGGATTCCTCTTTTGCTCTGCTGTGACGCTGAAGTCTTTTGAAATGGAAAGGCGAAATGCAATTTCACTTTTTTATGTAGCATTTGAAATAAATATTATAATGATGTTTTAAAGAACATACTATTTTATTTCTTCTTGAATCATGGTTCAACATTATAACTAGTATCCTTTATGAATCAGAACTAATATGCAAAATTATGGAATCTGCAAACTGTGAAAAGGACATTGCAAATGTAAGACACCCAGCGTGTAAGTGAATTAGTTGCAGCTGTATGCAGTTTGTTTTTGGAAGGAAACATATTGACGTCAGTCTGCTGTTAAGGCATCAGTGTGAGTTGGTCCATTATCCGTAACGACGCCTTAGGATTCTATGCCAGAAAGTGCAGGATACATGCTTGATATGACCCTAGTCTATCAGACCTGCAACTGAGTCCCCGTTTACACTTGATCTAAAAAAATGTGTCTAGGGCGATCGGATCTGACGTAGGCAGGACTAAATATAAGTGTAAACAGCCAGCAAGACACACTGTTATCCGATCACCCAAATCACTAGCCAAACTGGTCTTGGACGCATTTGAACACGTATCTTTTGTAGTGTAAATGCTAACCCATCCTGATGTGTCTCTGACATGGACGTCATAATAACTCTGTGCGGGGCCATTTGACCTTTTAGCGGAAGTGACGCAGGCGGTAATGAACTCTGAACACAAGTGGTCAGCTGGACACCTTGGAAACCATAAGAGATACAGGTGTAAACGGCGATGTGTCTCAGCTGACTGCTTATGATCCAGCCGCCCAAGAGACATTTTAAAACCAAGTGTAAACAGGACCTGAGAGACACCAGTTCACTTCAAGAGCACATTTTTGGATGGTTGGAGGAAGCTTAGGCAAACACCAGTCACTAGGGGGCAGCAGTGAGCCACAGCTCTGGAGGTCTGAACCGACAATGACACCTGCTTACCCGCTATGCCACCCTTTATTGGAGCTTAACATTCAGCATCTGGCACAGAACCAGTTTTTGCAGATTTTATTTCATAAATAATATTATTATATTATAATAAGTAGATAGATGGTAATTTGCAGAACTGCCACAAGATGGCAGAAGAGGACAGCGCCTGGCAACCATTTACTTCCCTCCATCCATCCATTCATTATCCATAACCATTTCTCCTCTTCAGGGTCATGGGGGAGGGGGGGCAGTCTGAAGCCTGTGGGTGCAAGGCAGGGAACAACCCATGACAGGGCCACTGTGCCAGCTATTTACTTGTACATCATAAGGGTAACTTTTACTGAAGACAGTACTTTATCATTTATTTTTATTTTTTTTCCCCCATAGGAAATAGGAAAAATAGCTCCCTTAACATAACGTGTGCTGTGAAACAATTTATTTTGCATAAGTTTTCCAATATAATATCATTACAAGTTTGTGTTGTGTCACAACTTATTACATACACATACTCTTCTTTTATTTATTCCTGGGCTGACAGGCAACCAAAAGCCAGTAGAGGGAGAACCCACTTCCTAAATGAGAGTAAAGAAAGAACAGATGATGTTGTAATGTCACAGCGGTTGTCACTCAGATATGGCTCATGGGAGTTTTACTTACAGAAAAATGTTCTGAGGGCAGAAAGACACATGATTGGTTCAGAGAGATCACCAATCAGATTGTAGAAGAGGTGGATCCAAGCAACTAGAGGAGGAGGGACCAACCAATCAGATGTCATGGTCCCTCCTCCTCTAATNTTACTTACAGAAAAATGTTCTGAGGGCAGAAAGACACATGATTGGTTCAGAGAGATCACCAATCAGATTGTAGAAGAGGTAGCCCCCAAGCAACTGAAGGAGGCAGGACTGAGACATGATTGGTTGGTCCCGCCTCCTGCAGTTGCTTGGACCCTCGTCCTCTACAGATTGGTTATCTTTCTGAACCAGTATTTTTTGATCTGCCCTCAGATCATGTTTTGTGCAAGTAATATTCCCTGGAGCTCAGATATGACTGTGGTATATCGTGTTATATTCTATTACAATGCCCACCTGCAATGGTGATTGTCATAGTGAAGCGATACAGTAGGACATCCAGAGTCCCTCCCTTGATGTGGACGGGTAGATTATTGTCCGCCTAGAATTAAGGGCCAAAGAGCAATGGGTAAATGCAATGTTTTCCAAACCGGGAATAAGAGTTCATGTTTTTGGTGTGATGAAGTGGTCCATTAAACCTGCCTTTCCCAACCTGGTTCTTGGGGACCCCCAGACTGTTGGGAGGGAGCAAAAACATGGACTGTCTGGGGGTCCCTGAGGACCTGGCGTAATGGACCACTTCTTCACATCAAAAACATGAACTCTTATTAAGTTGTTAAGGCATATTCATTTAATCGTACCCCAGTTTTGTGTCTCGTGCTGGCTGGGAATAGGACATGTTCTGTAGGGATTTTGCTTTGATGTTTTTTTGTTTTCCAACCAAATTTCATCGCTTAGTGGAAAGGGCACACAGGTCAGATAACAGATTTCAGTCTTTTTTCCCAAATATGGCTAATTTTCTTAGTAAGGGTGATCTGCGATAGTGTTACTTCTAAGGTACACAGTCAGATGGAAACTAAAGTTTTGTTTCCACCATTTTTTTTTATTTATATGTTAACATTGCCAAGACGTAAAAATCCTAACTAGCGTAGAGATAAACTTGGAATTTCAAACTCTTGTCCAATCAAATTAATCTACGTGCATGTTTTCATTCTTTTACATTTCATTGTTGGGGGGGGGCTGTAAACCTTCATACACAAAGATCTGTCAGGAACAGGTCTGGGAACTCCTGGATGTTTATAAAAAATAAAATGCAGTTTCTCTCGTAACAGTGTAACTCACCTGGAATAACTTCTGATACTCCGGCACCTTGTTTCCCAAATGTCTAGAGGTCGTGTTAAAACTGCGACTCACCAACTTTTGCAAATTCTGCGAAGAGAAAGTGAGTATTTGTAAACACTTCCGATCTTTGTCGTCGTTTTTGGAGGAATGGGAATGAGCCATGTCAGTGGTGTTTTACTGGCTATTCCACTGGTTTAAGAGTTAAACAGGCTGCCTAAGGTTACATGAATAAAAAGTATGACATTCAGTCTGAAGGTGATAGGTAGGGAAACTGAAACAGAGCTGTTAATATTTTACAGAAGTAGTTCTACATCTGATACTTTCCCTTTCAGTGAGACCTGAAACTCTACTAAAAATATCCTGCTTTAAGAATGAGAGCAGAAGTGAAAATAGTGAACCATTTTTGCACGGGAGGTCTCCTATCCCTACATCTGTGCTAGAATTATGTGTTTTCACTGTTTTTAGTAACCATCTGTTGTTGATTTTGCAGCCTTTCAAATTGTCAGTTCTACATATAACATAAGGAATGTTTCAAAATTCAACATTGTCCGGGCTTAATATTTAGCCTTGAATGAACAAACACATACAGGGAAAGTAGGGCTCCACAAAATAAATAATTTTATTATATGCAGCGCATATCTATATCATATTGTATCATAGCAGTGCAAGTCTATACACCCTTGAATTGTCAGATGATTCTAAAGATGCAAATCGACAGTCACAGTAGGCCCCATTCCCACCTTTAATAATATGTTAGGGGGAAAAAATAAGAAAAAATAAAAATCAAACTCCTCAGTTGAATGCATGCACACCTTTTACAGCAGATGATATACTTGTTATCTGATACTTTTGGTGCAAAGCCAACACATCTCATCACCCATAGTATCTTGCTATGCTTCAAGTGAGACAGTGACATTGTTTAAGACAGAGAGGGACAAACAATACTGCCAATCACCAAGGTATTTTGCCTTCTGCTACAAAGCTGAAGTTAAGGAATTTCAACAGTCCAAGACACGGCCAGTTCACTTCAGGAATGGATTAGGAAAAGCAAGATCCATATCTGAGACATCAATTTCTTTAAAATATCTTTAAACTCAATTGCAGGGGATCATCTCCCAATTTAACTGCGCTCAAACTGCACTGCAAAACAGTAATGGGTAACTGGCAAATCCTGACGTGCCAAGTTGATGGTGACATTTCTAAACAGATTAATGGTTGCAATAAAAGGGGCTTCTGCAAAGTACTACTTAAATGGCACGTGCATATGCAGCCATGGTTTTGAAAGGTTTTTGAAGCATTTATTTCCCCCTAAAAGTCTTCTGTTTTTCACTTAAATACCGTAAGTATCAAGGTCTTATGAAAGGCAAAAAGGTCAAGCATAATTTGTCTTAATTTCTGTCTGTACAAAATCTGAAATTTCAATAAGCATGTGTTGACAAACTGCATAGAACAACAGTTTATGGTTTGATATAGAAAAACATATGCATCCTTTAACTTGCTACCACAGCTGAGAATATACATTGTATTGTCCGTATTATGGTATATTATATATTATACAGCATATAATTTATTTTGGAGATGGTAGGAGCTAGAGTTCCCGGTGTGGTATGGTTAGGGCTGTGTACTACAAATAGAGGGAGGGTTTGGGTCCCTTCTTTGTCGATGTCAACCAGGGCTGGCTCCCCCAAAATGGGCTTGAGACCTCCAGAGGACACTGGGTTGGGGACTCAGTGTGGCAGGGGTTCGTGTCCCCTTGCACGAGGACCAGAGAGGGTGGTCTAAAGTCCCTCACTGAGAACATGTGCTTTAAAGTCCCGTGTTTTTGGTGGTATTTTATTTTTATTAGTTAGTTTTTTTTGTTTTTTTTTTTTTAGAAAGAGATTCTATTTTTGTTTTCCTTATTTTCATGCTGTTGTTTAATTCCTTTCTCTTAAATGCCTGTAAAGCACTTTGTAAACCGTATGTTTAAATCGGTACTTGCAATGATTAAATAAATACTAATCAGAGTTTGACATATTTTCTGTCCGTGTGTTTGGTTATTTTCACCCTAACACTGTCTCTTTAAGACTGTTATGTTGAACATGTGCATTCCCATGTACCAAGGTCAAAATGGGTGCGTGATGTAATCAGAGGGACACAGTAAGAAGATCACCATCCAGTGGGTGCCTTCTCACTGCCTACTGAACTGACCAATCAGAAAACTTATTGTGAAGGGAGGCAATAAAATGTTTTTACTACCATCATCTGGATGACATATGTATACTAGCTTAGAAACCCCATTTTCTGAAGATTTTGTGCTCCAGACATATGGGTTAGACATGCACATATTTACACAACTAGTTTGCTTCAGTCTGTAAGTCATTACAAGTCATTAGTATATATGATCCACTATTAAATAATGTTCCAATATATTCAAACTGTACATTTTTATAAGAAACCCTGTTCGCATCATCTTTTTAGTCATTTAGTAGCTTGCAAAAACACATAAATGACATTTTTTTAATAAGAAATTTCATAATGTAAACTATTCCAAGTTTTTCTTAAATTTATGCATGATATAAGCAATTCTTGTTCTTGTCAGTGGAGAAAAAGCAATACAGACCAATCAGAAAGGTAAGAGCATGTTTTATGTATAAAAGGACATACTAATTATTCAGTTCTGCACAATAGTAGAATGTATATAAATATTCATATACATTTCATACATTTGTTTGCAAATGTTTCAGTCGAACAAACATTTACCATATCCTCACAGACACTGTGGCATATAACTGAACTGCTGGAAAACCTGCTATGTTTTGTCATCTTATAAAACAAGGCCTTAGAAATGCAAAGGTTAAATAAACTTTGTTTTTTCCTAAGTAAATCAATCATTCCCTTCATCTCGATGTTATCTGTATAATTTTACTTGCAATTCTCACATCATTTTCAAGTGAAAACAAAAAGATTTACGATTGTTCCTCACCAGTAAGTGTCTCATGTTGAATCTTGTTCAGTGCAGAGCCTCCGTCTGTTTCTCGAGCCACGACCTGGATAAGGGCATGAGAGCATATTACAGTGTTTCTGAACTACAGCCAAAGTATGGTCAGCCGGAGAGACCAAACTCTAAGTCCAGGAGTACAACTGGATTACTCAGGCTTAGGACCGCAATGTTAAGATTCATTTTTTTTCTCTTATTTTGCTTTTTTAACATTTTTAGATATATAACAAATATAGCACTATACCACTTCTAGTGTGAGTTAGTTTAGATGAGTACTGAGATAATAATGAATATGATAATAATAATGATAATAACTGTGAAATACCAATAGCTATCATTATGTTCCTATTGCGCAACTGTTGCTATTGATAAAAGTAACTATGAATTAAATGTGAAGAAACAAAACAGATAATTTCTCAAGACCCCAGTCAATTTAAAAAGAAATTAAATTCATTTTCAGATAAATTGCTTTGATATTACTGAATTAGGAGGTATGCATTAGGAGGGATATGCAGTCATGCGTGGCTGTGGCCTTATTGAATTTTTATTCTTATTGAGTTTCACTTCCTCTAGAAACAATATTTATTTGGTGAAAAGGGAACTGTGATTTTTTAATCTTTTAGTTACAGTGTGATTGCGATCATTATTTAATGACAGCTGCATGATATCCAGCATTGATAAACATATTCTCTGAGCCTGTGCAAATTTAAATGGTAAGTTTCAAGTCATTCATGTTCTTGTGCTCTGTCATTACTCTGAGGTGAGATTGGAGATAAGATTAGCGTGAGGATATACTTACTGACATGGCAAAAAATGTTTTTGTAAGCATCAAAGACAATTAAAGGGCTAATTTTATCTAATTGTCCTCATTGGATATCAATATAAGAATGGCATGCATCCACAAAGGTTGTACTTCTGTTTGTTAAACATTATCCTGTCATAATACTGAGTGGTTATATCTGTGTAAATGTTTATGTGCATAAATCTGGCTTCCTGATTTGAATGTTTGATTACTTCATAGTATCTTAAAGAAATGTCGTCATATAGTATTTTACCCAAAATCTTATGTATTTTTTTATATCTACAGTTCAGACATGACTACCAGTATACTTCTATTGATTCTTCTCAGTGTCCCTGCACTCAGTATTGAACATGCCAGCATGTTTATCTTAAAGGAGAAACCGTAAGAATATTTACTGTATTTGCTATAGAAAGACAATGAGAATAAAAATGTATCACTGAAGCAACAAATAAAGAGTATTATTTCTATGGCAATTACATGTTTGATCTCATAATAATATAAGTTGAAGGTGCATTCCGAGTAAATGAGTTTCAAGGCTACAACCAGATGCTAAAAATATGTAGTGGCTGTACTATGTGGAGACTTTGTGAGGTACTCGACTAGGAAGGAGTCCCCATCGGAGGCGGGGGAGGTTGAGGTATGCACACAAACACACAGGTTTGAAATTATATCTTTGTGGGGACTCATTGTGGGCACGTGTCCCCACAATGTAATATAAACACAATCCACACACACACACACCTGTTTAGTGTTACAATACACCAAGCAAAACTGCATTTGAGAAAGACTAAATTTAGCACATTGGTACTTTAGCCAGTCCAGTGTGTTGTCTTGCGTCGGCAAATCTATAGAACTTGATCTTGGATACTTATCTATGTGGGATAAAATAAGCTTAATGTCCCCCTCCCCGGCAACCTCGTACTCAATAAGCAATTGAAAGATAGATAAAATGTTATGCAAAGATGGCAGATGAAGGACTGTAGCTGTTGTGTCCTTATTTTCCATCGGAAGGTTGTGCAGGTGGGAGTGTATGAACTTCGCTCTCCAATGGCCGGGAGCTTTCTGTGTGGTGAGAGAAAGGTTTATTTCCCCTATCTGTGGCACAACACGAAAACACCACGATTAGTGAAAATATACTAATCTTATGGCTGCCTTAAGCAAAATGCATGCTGTGATATCAAGTGTTTGCTTCTGTAATCATGCAGTTTTCTACGTCTAAATGAAATTCTCGGTGAAACGTTTCCCTAGATTTCGAATTATGAGTGTTTTTTGAGGAAGTTTGCCTAGAAACAAAAGTATCACATAAACATAAAAACTGAGCAACAAACTAGCTTTCTGAATTTGACCTTATGGAACAACAGAAGCAGGCCTTCTATGTAAACGCTGGACCATTTCTAAAAATGACTGAAGAACCCTTTGCCTTTCAAGAGCTTGAAGAACATCTCAGGCTGTGTGGTACCACAACATGTTCAGAACTGGACCATTCATGGGTTATGGTAAAGGATTTCTACTCATCTTTTGGTCTTCAGAATTATGTATATTTAGATTTTTTTGGCTTCAAAAAAGTTACTTTAATATTCTTCATCTTAATTATTTAAGATAAAATATTTCCTCACTCTTTCATGTGTAACTTTCCTTCCTTTCTGATTGAGGCCTATGCACGTTGACAAATGTTGCGAATGCTGGCCCATTTTCAACTCCGATCTTGAGGTGAGAAATGCACCAAACATACTTGGCAATAAAGTCTATTCTGATTCTGATGTTTTCTGTATGGCAGCAGTTCTTAATTTATTTATATACTTGAATTTAGGAACTCGAACCTGAACTCACCCAGCTATGGCCGTCGTTGATCAAGGGAAGAAATTTCACATTTTGGTAAGATCTCGCATTTTAGCCACATGACCAGTCCAAGCAGGCAATGTCGAAGACTGAGACCAAAGATACAGGGATCCCACTGTAGGTGGTGTTTTTGGCGTCATTAGATCACTACCTTTGGCACTCATTTTATGCCGCGTGTGAAGCATTCAGGATGAGAACAAACACCATCAAATCTAAGAGGGTCTGCCCGTAATGAGGAAGCTTAACTACCTCAGGACCCTGTCTACCAGTGACAGCAAAAGTAAACATGAGATTAACGAGCGGATCAGTTCGGTGTCTACTGTCATCAGAATAAGGGTTACAGTTCACCGGAAAATCGAAATCCGTGATCTCACTTACGATCACGAGCTGTGGATAGTGATCAAAGTGGGTCATTCAGAAAGACGTTTGCTTCAGAAAGGCTTAAGCAGGTCCAAACTGCTTTACTTAACGTGAATGCATAAAGAAATACATATACAAATATAACACAATTTTATATACATGATTATGTACAGGAGAAACGAATGGATCAAACACGGTTCCTGCGCAGCCTGCAAGGAAGGCATGAACTCCCCGACGCGATACTTTCAGACATCACTCAAGCTGCGCAGACGTTTCAACATTGATGAGTAAGGCACCAATCTAAATATACGTCAACATTGTCATTTATATTTTTCTGCAAGAACTATGACGTTGCGCCACAACAAATGCCAGGGCATATAATAAAGTTATAATAAATGACAGACTACAAATGCATGCTGTGATAAGTCAAGTGTTTGCTTCTGTAATCATGCAGTTTTCTAAGTCTAAATGAAATTCTCTGTAAAACGTTTCCCTAGATTTTGAATTATGAGGAATTTTTTGAGGAAGTTTGCCTAGAAACAAAAGTATCACATAAACATAAAAACTGAGCAACAAACTACCTTTCTGAATTGAGAATATAAATATAAAATTTACTTATCTTCTCTCCAGAATCTTGAGGAATTCAGGTATTGAACCTTCCTGCATTAACTCTTACAAGGTAATTTTCCCATTTTGGAAAAAAAAATCATAGCAAACACAAAAAGGAGAATGGACTTGAGTAATCACCAGGTTTCAATTCTCCTTTAGAGTGATGACCTCCGTAAGGCACTGGCTCCGATTCTGAGCGACATTCATGAGATCCAGTGTGTGACAGACGACAAAGTAAGTGGGCAGTGCCTGTACAGATCTGTCATAATCCTCACAAAGGGTCATTAAAACAGCGGTCTTGACTGATTTTCCTGTCACCATTTTTATAGTGAGCGAGCAAGAGGGCTTGCAGTCATAAAAATAAAGCGTGCTTATTTGTGCTATGTAACCACCCGTGAATTTTCTGATTCAGGAGCGGGAAGTATTGGTCCAAGTGAAGATACCCCTTTATCTGAATTTCACACTGGGATGTCACCAGCACGACCAGGATTCCGTACTCTCTTCCCCACCCTTGACCAAATCTCCTTTACGTCCTTGTCCCACACACTCTCCCATATTCTATTTTCCCATCAAGCATGAAGATCCGTACCATCCATGTGCCTGAATGCACACCAAGCACAAAGTCCAGACATTTAGTTAAATGTGACAGATATTCCAGCATTTTACCATTCATTAATGCTGTTTTCAGTTCAAACATAAAAACTGTAATTCCCTACTGATAGTGTGTAGAAATAAATCCCACTGAAAACTGGTGCGTTTGACAATTTATTGACACGGAATTTCACACTGAAAATAGTCGGCTCTAAAAACAGAGGGCCTGGGGGTGCGTCATTTTACGGTTTAACACGATAAAAAAAAATTTTAACTATGTTCCAGGCTGTGCCGCTGTTATTCATACTGCAAACAAACAAACTAGAAAAATAAAATGACATGACAGCAGGACAAAGTTACACGATGCTGGTTGTGTCAGCAAGTGCTGTGGTGGGTTGCGGCTGCTCAGTGTGAAAAGTTTCACTTAAACTTCCATTTTCCCCAGGAAACGAAGATTCAAAATTTTGAGTTGCTCATCCAGTTCCATTCGTACGATGCCGTCCTCCCCATCAATACTCAGAAGCACGCCGGTTGCCTCTCGGTCCTCACCCAGTATTACCTTCACCTGCAAAACAAATTAATTCCAAACGTATTTCTGTTCTACCAAATCAAATTCAAAAACAAAAACGAAGCAAAAACAAACAGCAGAGACATCTGAAGCTTCCAGCACTCTGCTTGTTGTGGTGATGTATTAAACAGGACCGAACCACACACTTCACATACATGGACCAAGACTTACAGCGGAAAGATGGTCAAGAAAATTTGTGCCTAAGTCTGAAGTTCATGTGTTGGACACCAACTACCCCATTCAAATGTAGATATCTGAACATGAACAGTTTCCTACAGGTTCTCGGATTATTCTTCTTATAACGTGGGGTGTTTTAGTTCCACTTAAACATTTTAACCTTGGCATAGGAAACAAAACTTAGCAAGCACTGCAATTTAAATGACTGTTCCTTTTCAAGATTATCTAGTATACATTCTAAAAATCAGATTACCGTCCCTGCTTTTGCATGAGCCCTGCATGCACTCTCTGAGATCATCATCATTATTTCATCCAGGCTGCTTATATCATTCTTCAGAAATGTATTTTGAACTTGTTTTTCTGCTCTATAAATATCCCAATATTTATTACAACTAAACCACATTGCGATATTTATTTCCAATATCGTGCTGCCCTAGTATGTTATAGAAAATACTTTCTCTCTTGTAATGCCATCCAATTCTTCTTCTGAATCACAATAAAAGCTTAAATCATTTGTCCACGGATCCTTTTGTTTTTTTCTTTCCTCGTTTATCATTGTTTGTAACATTTTTCAAGATGTACTGTGTTTAGAGGCAGACTATTTGCATAAACAAATTGAAAATGAACATGTTTGCAATCCCACCCCAAAGTACCGAAAAAGTATCCCAGCTGGTTTGGTACTGGAACTTTTGGCACTAGTATTTGACAGAAAGTCAACGGAAAAGGGAAAATACTGAAAGTTTGGGAAAAATGGTGCAATGTAAGATGATCACTGAAACAGTCAAGCTAATTCAATTGCATAAGCTAATCAAATTTGTAGCATCTCTTTACAAAAATGTTGCTATACTGATAACTTGAAAAATGCATACCTTGTTGTTCTTGGTGGGCGTTACTGGCTCTAGATGTTCACTGGATATGCTAACTACTTTCTCTGTGTCTTGGAGGAAGACAGAGCACATCCCTCCCTATGAGTCAAAAACAAGCAAACAAACAACTGAAATTCAGGACAGGGGTAGTACTTAGTACAGCAACTTGCAAAGTGTTTACTAAGACACATTATGCATTAAAAAAAAAAAAAGAATATCAGCTAAGTGGGTAGAGTTTGAATCTTCAAGAAATGACTTGCAGCTACAGTTTATTAACAATTAAGCAATGTAGACATTCTCTGATAATGCGATCCTTTTAAATTTAAAATCTAAATATAAAACATTAGTTGTAAAACTGACCGTGACGCTTCGGATCACGCCCGTCTGGTTGATAACCTGTCCGTCGAGAAACGTATCCTTGACCCTAACCACGATGTCCGTAGTAACCCAGTCACATGAGGTCTGGTCAATGTTGGATCCTGGTGTGTGGGGATTATATCCACCAGGAGAAGGGGCACCTGGAGTCATGGGGCTGTAGCCTACCGGACTGGGGCTTGGACTAGCCTAAAGGAAGGAAAGGAATAAAAACATTCTTAGGTAATTCAGTTTAAAGTCTCACCCCCCATGAGGCTAAAATAACTCTTACCTGGTAGGCCATAGGTGAAGGAGTAGGGTGGTAGCTAGCAGGAGAATGTGTGTTTTGATAGCCCACAGGACTAGGGGCCACCTGGTGATAACTCTGGGGGCTGGGGCTGGGCTGGTAGGAACCTTGCGGTGAGGGAGCTGCATATGGAGAGTACTGGTCGGTATTGTACCTGAAATGCAAGCAGTGAGAAGCTTGATGGTTGAACAAAGTAGTTTACAAACAACTTTTCCGTTTGTTCCCTGTCCTTTAGTGTGTTTTATTGGTTTATGTGCATGTAAATGGCCTGCAAAGTCTTATGGCCCGAAGAACACACCAAAAGGAGTAATGGTCACCACAGAAACCACTCTTCTCTAGTCTGCCTGAAACACATAGTTGAAATCCCAGCCCTTACTTCCATGGCATGGTGAGGTCACCTCGTAACAAATTCCTTATTGGCCACCTATCTGCCAGGATTCGCCTGCAGACTGCAAGATGGGTGGAACTTGAAGGGCAAACTGGCCAATCAGGCAAGTTGACCAATCAGAGCACACTGGGCTCTTTGAGGGTGGGGCTTAAAGCTTGGAGTGTTTCAAGCAGTTATAGACAGAGGGGAGAGAGACGTACAGTGTGCTTCTGGAACACTGAAGCAATGAATCTATTCTAGTAGACCCCAAAAATAAAGTTATGAAGAGAGAAAATGAGCATAATAGGACCCTTTTAAGCACAAACAAGGGCTAAGAAGTTACTCACATGGCCGGAGTGCCAGGTGTTTGAGGGTTGTACTGTGGGTTGACCTGTGGGGACGGTACTTCAGGGTACCCGGGGGTTTGGGGGTTAGGTGTACCACCATAGCCTTGCGGAGATGTTGAAGGCTCATCATCATAACCGAACTCAAAATCATCATCGGGGCTGCAATCAGAGGATTTCAGGCAAGGAAAAACAAGGAAAGTTAAGGCAAATGACACAAATGTCAGACAAGTACAATGTCTTCACACAAGAGACAGATCAACAGGCCATCTGATTTGCTGATACCTAACCCTTTAAATATTTATTTAATGCCAAGATCCAAAATGTTAGGGCAATACGCATTGTGAAACGTCATGGGATTTTTCCTCAAAAACAATATGTCCCTATATAATTCTGCTGAATCTCATACCTTGAAACATTCCAGATAAATGCAATTATGGTGAATAGCAACTCGGGGTACTAAAACAATGCTTGCAGCTCTTTTCAGATTTGTTTAAAACACGACACTTTATTTAGCTACAAATTCACGAAAGGATTTGATTTACAAGGAAGGCACTAACCCATTATTCTTTACGATTAGAGAGGTCAATAATCAAGCGGAAATGTTTTATTCAGTCCACTCTTACCGTGAAGGGGTATTTGGGTTGTTGGGGTCCCAGGCTCCACTTTGTCCCGGTGTACGACTCCCATCATGCAATGGGGTCTGAGAGCCATAGTGAGGTGTTCGGCTTCCTGTTATGAAGGGAGGGGCTCATCAAAACAAATAACACTGCTGCCTACTTGCAAGAAAACAAATTAGCTTATTTATTAAGCTCAATGTTTTTAATGTGAACCACAGTCGACCCTTCCACATCATGGGGGTTTGGGAAACTGGCCCCTTCCCATCTGGAAAAACCTTGAGTGCAGTGGAGCGAAGCTTAAAGATACAAGAAAACTGAGATACAAAGCTGACTGCGAGATCACTGCGGGAGATCACTGCGGGAGATCACGAGAGGGGCGGCTGTGAACATGCTTGGCGTCCTCCAAACCAGCACTGCACATGTATTTTATGCATGTAGGAGTTACTAAACTTTTTCTGTCTGTGGCTTTCGCGAAATACCCAAAAAATCACTGATCCAATGAAACCGCAATGCGGAAAGTCGCGATGCACAAGCATCAAATGTACGTTTGACTGATGAATCTCTCACCATCATGAAGAGGCGTCTGTGACCCGTACATCGGAGTCCGGGAACCAGTCCCATACATGGGGGTTTGAGATCCATACATCGGTGTTCTTCCATGTGTAGAGGTCATTCCTCCGTGACGCTTGGCACCCCTATCAATAAAGAGCACATCCTGAACTTAAAGGCTCAAAGAAATCATCTGCTTGGCCCGCTGCCTTCTGCTAGATGTTTCAGGTCTATCATATCATGGACAAACAGTCTTAAAAACAGTGTTTATGCCAGAGCCGTGCGAGAACTGAACGCTGCAAAACAATGACACTGTCTGATTTGGGACCCATGTGACCGTCAACAAAACACTTACGGTTGTGTCTACAGAATACTGCACTGGCTTTCACTTTCATATTTATATCTGTTTATATCTCTTTTGGACTTTTGTACATATATTTCCTTTTATATTACATTTCCTTATTATACAACCATAAGCTAGGCCTCATTGTGCAATATCCCAGAGTGCAATATCTCAGCTGCTATTTAGATTACGGTATACATTCTATTTACAGTATACACATAAGCACAGAAACATACTTAAACATTTAATATTTGTATAATACATATTTTTTACTACTTTAATTTGCAGCTTTACTATTGTTCTATCATTTACTGATATTTATGTGTGGAGGCACTGTAGGGACTGCTACTCAATTTCATTGTACTCTGTGCAATGACAATAAAAGGCATCTTATCTTATCTGAACATAATTAAACATGCAGAATCTGAACACTTATGTTCAGAGATATTTAGTGTTGGAATGTCTGATCTTTGTCAGTTTTAAGTAACTTCATCAGTTAAACTTCTCCTTCAGCTTCCCACCACACGCACAGAACCGAGGAAACTGTTCTTATGCACCACATGAGTGGAATATATTACAAAATATGTTGAATTTAGACTCCTTGCCTTCTCTGGATGCGTTTAAAAATCTCTTTAACTCTGACCTTAAAGAACAGTGTCATTGTTTCATATAAATTAATTTTATTCTATGTATTTCTGGAGAGCGAGTATTTGTGTTTTAGTTTGTGTTCATATTAATCATCTCTGTATGTATGTATATGAAACGTGTATCTTATTTTCCCTATTTGTTGCCATTTTGGCCAGGACTTCCTGGAAGAAGAGATATCGTATCTCAGTGGAACCTTCCTGGTAAAATAAAGGATAAGCTTCATGCTCTACTTGTCACATCTGCAGATAGCAAGCATTAGCCAAACAAATGTAAAGGGCACAAATGCACTCAAGTCTACAGCCTAATCCTCAAATGAAAACTGCCGTCAAGACAGTCCAAGCTTACACTGTTGTAAGGCGCTGGCGGTCCACGGAGATTGTCTGGCAAGTAGAATGCAGCTCCACACGGGCAGTGGATTCAGTGGCATCCTTTACTACTCCAATGTAACCTGCGATATGAAGTATTAGGTCACAAGTATTAATTTAGTGAACATGACATGTCATTTATGATGGTTTCAAATAGAACAGATTGATAGTTCAAATCATCCCATCAGAACTGACTGCATTACCAACCTTTGTATGGTCCCTGTGAAATCCGGACCGTCTGTCCAATCAGGTCATTGTCCCTCCTTCCCCGCCCCCGGCCCATGCCTCCACCTCCACCTCTTTGCGGTTGGCCTGAAGCGAAAGACCATTACCAAAGCATCACGACCAATCACAGGGGCCGATATTCAAATCACACCCAGTGTGATTAACATCTTAAACACTAAACGTTATAACAGCTTTGGACGTAAACCCAACCACATTTTCTCTTACAATCCATGAAAAGAAAAATGGACAGCGTGAAGAATAAGGGTTCGGCCCGTTGCACGTTATTCAGTGGTTTCAGGAAGCTGCTGTCAATTTGCAGACGACATCTGAGAGAGGTGTGATGTCTGCATTATTTCTCAGTGGTGAATGGAGTCAGAGAGAAAAAAAATACTAATGCAAACTCTGTATGCTAATAAAGTTAGCCAGCAACCTGACAAACACACTGAATCACGCTAATTCATGCAGTAGCGTTACAGTGACAGTTTGATTGTCACGAACAACTAGGGATGTCTGAAAGATCGACCAGTTGAGTGAAACTTACACCATTAGTTTTATGTACACACATAATGTATTTGTAAAAGTATTCTGTGTGCAGTACACTTCACAATGTGTTACGCGGCATCTACTTACCGCCACCCCCCGGATGCATTGGGCTGCTGATTCGCGGGCTCATGGGTGCGAACCCGCCCACTGTGAAATTGGTAACATCTCTGGGCTGAAGAGACAAAGAATATCTTTTGCTTAAAGTAATGGCTGGTAGCTGTCTAGAGACGGTCCCCTTGAGAAACGCACAGGCTTGCAAAATTATTATGAAATTAAAGAGGGACAGAAGCGATTAAGCTTCAACACACCAGCATTTGCTAAAGGGGTTTGACTGTAAAATAAAACAATGCAGATGTGCAGGCATTTCTCCACGCACAACAAATTTATAATTTATAGGCTGTGTCTAAACACGTCTAGGGAAAAAAAAAATGGAGGAAATTCAGAATTGTCTGACAATAATTAAAGGCATTCTCAGTTCTTGCCGTCATGCAATAACCATGTTTATTACAAGGCCAAATGCTGCATAGCAAAGAGATGAATACTCACCTTAGAACCACCAGCAAGGACCAAGTGACGAGTCTTGCAGACAAACATGCCGCCGTTTTCCACCAGCTTCTTACAGTGCAGGAAAGCAAACCCTCTGAACAAATGACGGATTTCTCCTTCCCGCCCCTATGAGACAAAACCTCACTTTCATTAGATTTTTTTTTTTTTTTGGTGCAACAGTCTGTAAAGCTATAAGGCAAAATATTCAATAACCAAAAATTACCTAAAATTCAGAACCAAAATAGTGTTAATCTTTATAACAGAAATGAATCCACAATTAGGGCTGAATATGGACAAAATGAATATGAAAGCAAGAAAAAAATTACACACCACCCTACTCAACCCTGTTCACAAAACATAAAAGAACAAAACAGGCTCAAGACTGGTGGAAGATGTAACCTCCTTCGATAAATTAATGACACCAGAAAACAAAGATGTTGAAGATGAAATGTTAAAGGATGAGTCTATGGCTAAATGTTAAAAAGTTTAACTGTAATGTTCAAATGTTTAAGAGCTAACTGTAATGCTGATGGTGAAGCCAGAGGCTTTTGAAACATTCAACAGAAGATCAAGAAGCCAGGAAACATGCTAAGTACTAAGATCAGAATTATTCAGAATAAGGTATTTCCTGGTACGTGAAAGCAAAACCAGAAGAGCACTGATGCCTTTTTACCATGATGAGATTAATACAAATACCACAAACTGCAAGGAAAAGAGGATTCTCGGCCAAATCCAGCTTGAAGCACACATGAAGAACAATCATTATTTTGGACATATAAAGGCACTGGAGAACACAATAATGTTTTGAAAAGTTGAAGGTAAATGAGGAAGAGGATGAACAGCAAGATGGACTCAATCATGGCACCAGTGAAGCATCAGACAGAAGACGGGGTATTCCAAAGCGATACGCCAACATTACTTACCTCAAATTACTGTCATTTATACTTTAATAATTTACTGAATGTTTCAGACTCTTTTAAACCCCTCAAAGAAACCCAAAATCAGTATATAAGAGAATATGGGTTTAGGCATCATAATCATAACATATTCAATCCCATGAATAGTAACTCATTTAAGTGTCTGTACCCATTGAATATATACATGTCAATATTTGTCCATGAAAGAGTTAACCTTACCGAGTGGGGCCCATCAATGACCTTAACAATGTCCTTCACATGGATGTTGTTCTGTTCCGAGTCAAGAGCCACAGCAAAGCGGTTGTCTTTTCGCCGGTTTACAGCCTGATGCCGAACCGTGAGCACCTTCCCATGCATGTTAAGGACCTGGAATGAGTATGCGCCTTAGCCAGTTCATACAGTCATTTGCGGTAATACTGCAAACACTACAGACATTTTGGCTCTACGATCATGCTCAACAGATCTGCTAAAACTACCTGAAATGTCTCCCTTTCCAGTCGTACAATGACTCCCACAGTTTGGGGGTCAAGTTGTACCAGCTCTCCCCACTCATGCTGGCCACCAGCATCCACCCCAGAAGCTGTTTCTGAGCAGAGCTGAAGGTCACGTGGAAGAACCTTCAACTGCAGAAGCACATTTACAAAAACGCTATTAGGCTATGGATTATTCCACACACAGGAATTTATTGCATATAACTGTAGGCAAACAATGCATTTTCCAAATTATAAATCAAAAAAATGTTAACATCTGATTAATTATAACACCTTTACAAGCCGTTTGGGAGCTTTGAAAAGAGCCCTCTTACCTCATGCATGGTCAGATCTGAAAAAAGTATGACAAAGTTCTCCTCCACACGTACGATGAGCCCTGTGTCACCTTCATAACGTCCAGCTATCACCTTCACGTGGTCACCCATCTTGAAATACTTCCTTAGCTCATGGGCTGGGAACTCCAAGGGGTCCTATGTAACAGATTATTCACACACACACACACACACACACACACACACACACAGACACACGTCAACCTTAAAAGGTATAAAATTATACAAACTATAAAAAACTCAAAAATTTGGCCAAAGATTACTTCACATTGTTCTGCATTTATAACCAGTCACAGACCACCCTGGCTAGTCTCCACGACCTCCCACCATTTGGAGCCATCCTTACAATTGCCTAAAAATTTCATCCAAATCTTATAATTCCCCCAACATTGTAAAATTTTCAGAAATAAATTCAGAACCACTTTCTTCTAACTCTCCATCTTTCAATTAAAGTTTATCCTGCTCAGTTCACTGTCACTGTATGCAGAAGATAATGACTGTACAAACCCATAAGAAAATCATATGGTTTAGGTCATATTGTGTGCCATAGGCACATGAAAAGAAAAAAAAAGGACAATAAAAAAAACATGATCTTTTGACCACCCATTTATATCCAGTGCCAACTTGCAATTAAGATCTCACAACCTTATCCTTAAAAATATTAACCAACCTGCTGAAAACAATCTACATTGCACCCCTTTACCAGGACGGCATATTATATAGCAAAACAAATTTCCAAATGTGAAAGATACAATGACTTGCAATCTTACAAAAGCAAACTTAATGTTTATTAAACTACAGACACTCCTCTACTTATGAACGTTCAACTTACGAACTTTCAGACATAGGAACAAAGAGGACTAAGTCCAAATTGTGTTCACTGGGCTCCCATTTCCTGTACGCAAAATAATTACTTTTTTCTGCGGTCCAGTTCGGCCTAGTACGCCTTCTGGCCGCTACTCCCACCACATAGCAGCGTAGCGTGCGTACTCCTAGCATCCTAGTACTTGTATATGCCCTTAAAATTATGTAGAATAACGACTTATGAACATTTGAAGTTGCGAACGGCCGTTTTGAACGTCTCTCGTTTGTTAGTAGAGGAGCGTCTGTATTCTATTTAAATGTCACGGACACTTCTGTTTATAGTCTACATTTTTGTTTTATGAGGTGTTACTGAGATTTTGATTCAGTATCCAGCAATTACAAGTTAAAATGTTTATAACTATTTAAAAATTCCATAACAGTAACTAAGGATTTACAATGTGACAGCATAAAAAAATCTGTCGTTCATTTGTTTGCCTTGTTTTTGAAGTCATTTGATCATGTTGCTACTAGCAGGGGATATGTTTGCATTACCCAAATAAAAATTGTTAAGCAAGATATGCAGATAATGCGGAAAAGACTGCCCACCCCTAATATACAGCAACCTCAGCCATAAACAACTGACACAACTAAACACTGCTGCTACAAAAACAAAATGCTATTTTCCAAAGTTAAATTAGCCTTTGTGTGGCAGGTCCACTTCTGCAACACTTTGCCCTACAACCTATTCTTCCAAATGAATGGGTTTGTATACCTTGAGGTCCTCATGCTTGGGCAAGAGGGTGATCTTGTTTCCATCTACGCTGAGGATCTTGCCTTGTAAATTAATCAGCTCCCCTTCGCACACCTCAACATTGTCTCCAGCCTGCAGATTGTGTTCCCGTTCCTTGCCTGTAGGCAGATGTCATACTATACACTTAGGTTACACAAGCGCAACAAGAACTGAATTTTGAGAGAAACTTTTGATAAAAATACCATCACAATTTTGTCCTTTAAAACTCCCAAATAAATCGCTTAATTATGAGGAACCCAAACACATCTCTGACCACATTTCAGTGTATTCAAGCTATACCAGAAGTTGGATTGTTGTGTGCTGTCATTTACTGCTTGGTTTAACCGAAGTGATCTAATTAACCAGTCAATGACTAAGCACATGACAATAAGGCTGGGCGATATAACATGGTCATATAACTTTTAAATCAGAAAATTAGAAAATTCAATAAACTTAACAAGACCCATTGCTTGACAGCACACAAGAGCCTATCACATCTCAGAAACAATTCCAACCAATCAAACGGTAGACTTAAGAATGGACAACCTATGCCCAACAAATGGACAGAAAAGTTGACCGGGTTAGCGGAGCATGCAACTTGCTACTGATTCGGTAATATCATGGGGAAAAGGGCCTCCTCAGAAAAACTTGTGCAGAAAGCCGGAGCTCAGCAGCCACATCATTCTGAGACAAAGATATTGTGGATAAACAAGAAAAAGGTGCCGGTGATGTTTTGCAGTTTGAAATCTGACACGCGACAGACTGATGCCATGAACAGCAAACACTGCCGAAAACCTGTGCCAAACAAATCGAAATACTGCAGGACTGATTTCAACAGCTGACGTATTACCGTCCAGGACAACCTACAGACTGCTAGTGCTTTTAGTTACAAACACTAGCAATTAGGGTTCCAATGTTCTATCTGAAGAAATACGGGACAGATATTCGTTAAAAAAAAGTGAAAAGTATTAATATAGAGTGATATGGAAAACAATTTGATAAAATATTTTTCCATAACGCCCGGCCATATATGACAACAAAAACATAAGTTCTGTACTAAACAGCTTTATTCAGCAGAAAATGGAGGTTTATAAAGTAACTACCTGGCTGAGACTGGTGTAGGGTACAAAAAAAATGAAAATGCCAAATTCCACAGGATGTTTCTAGTAAATCTATCAGTTATGTCCATTTTGGTACCTGTGGTTTCTGTGACAACCTCAAGGTCAATCCCTTCTGGTTGGTCTTCAAACTTTTCCAGCTCGGACAATGTAGGCTTCACACCCTCTATGATCTATAGAAGAAAAATGATTTGTCAAGAGATCTCCGTGAATCAGCTGAAACATTGAGAGATCTTCATTCAGAGTAACGGGTCAATCATGTTTTCAACCAGTCCTGTTATGTCTAGTTGAATGCATCTTCTCAGATTTAAATGGCTGCATAAAACGTTATGGAGAACATTACACCGAGCAAGGAGCTATTCCAGAGTACCCTATCAGTGATGTAGTGCTGATGACAATTAACTTACTACAGCGGACATGGCAAAGCTTTTAAAAAGAAATCCTTTTCGGCTGTATCTGTTGCCTTCAAATATCATGAAATCTCCGTCATGACTGACTTCACCTCCAAGTGACCTGCAAGTACCAGACATGAGAGAATACAAATAACAAAATAATTGGAAAATGATCTGGTTTGGAAATCATTGGTACCTTTACAACAAAAAGATATTTTCCCATACCTGATCTTCTCAGCATCAAAGAGTCTCTGTGGAGGTCTCTTGAACTTCTTCCTTTTGGCAAACCAGTCTTTCTGTTGAATTGATGGAGACCCAAGACTGATTTATGTTCACAATGGTGACTGTCAACCCATTTTCAGATTGGGAAAACATTTTCACTTACCAGGCTCATTCGGGCCTTGATTCGGTCCAGATCTATGCGTGGAATCAGTTTTAATGATATCGTATTTTGACTTGGTTCAACATAATCCACCTAATGGCAAGAAAGCTGATCAGACATTTTAAAGTCCAATGAATGTACCAGACCACAAACAGGAACAATAGATAAAATAACTTTCATTCATTCATATAAAACACCTTTTCTGAATGTTCAAACCCACATTTTCCCCATACGCATTTTGATTCCTCATATTTTAACGATAAAGTGAAAACGCTAATGATCTATCATTATATATACCTGAGCAATGTCATCCTTGTAGAGTCCTCGTTTCAGCCTCACCCAGGATTTAGGCTTAAGGTTAGTGACCTCTTTGACCACCTTGAGGACGTCGGTCATTTCCTTGATGGGCACCATCTGCTGGTTCCAGAAGCCCATGCGCAGGTTTCCCACGCCCTCGATTGCAGCCTTTACATGAGTCTGCTTATAGGCCTCGACGTAGATGTAGCCCTTTACATGCTCAGGGGCTACCACAGATTTTATCTGCAGTGGCTGTAAGAAACACATACATTGTTGAATATGGATTATAACACAAACTAGACTAAAATCACTGCATCTATTCACAAAAAAAGACTATGATTTTTAGTCTGACTCAAAAAACAAATGGAAAGTTTTAGTCATTTCCATTTCAGTATCAGCTTTCTACGAGGCTACGAATTTACGAGTATCACAAAATGCTCCAAACACTCAATTGTAGCTCAGTGACAGTATATGTATAAAAAGACCATGCCTTTTGAGTAGACTGTAAGTCAACCTTATAAGAGGCTACAAATGAAACGGTTAAAATCCCCCCTCTCTATCGCTTTCCAAGTTTATCATTCTAAGATTACAAACAGATGTACTGGAAAGTGTGATTTAAAATAAAAAGGAAAAAAAGGTTATATGGACATACCGTGTCTGTACACTGGTAGGCAATGAACTTCCTCATTAGAGCAATGGCAGTTGCCCTCTCTTCCCCGATCTATGAAGGACAACATATCAGTAAGAGCATTTAAGAAATATTACTATATCTAACCTTTAAAGATAATAAAATAAATAAAAATAATACTGATATTAAAACAAAAAATATGAAAATAAAATGGTACGGCATACCTTACACTTGACAGTCCATAGATTAGGATCTCTAAAGAAAAAACGATTTTCAAATTTAGCTGTCTAACATACCCACAGAATACCTAATCTTTTGGACTTTTTTTAAATTTTGCATAAACTCATACATACTTGACTCCAGGGAGTAGCTGCTGCTGGGTGATGTCATCAGAAAGCTCCTCAGACCCCCCAGAGAAACTATAACAAAACAATTTTCACATGGTTCATGTGTGAAATCTCCACTCACATTAACAAAAGGTACCAAAGTCAGCAATTCTTTTTGCTTGAATTCGACACATAAACAGCTTCAGACTTACTGTTCTCCTCCAGAGGACTTTGCATACTTTCTCATGTAGTACTCTCCCAGAGCCTCCTCTCGAGAGTCCCTGCAACAAGAAATGTGATGACATCAATACCTGAAACAGAAGGATCTAGCACATCAACTCAAAGTCAAGCATATTCGAACACCACTTATTTTTGCACAAATAATTTGAGGTTTAAGACAATAAAATACATGCATCTACACACCTCCACAGATTTTGGAGCCGGCGCGATCCAGAGTGGTCCTCATCCAGAACCGTGTGCTCAAGGTTTGACACTGTCACACAAGACAAAAGACAGATTCAGTCACATAGATGGGAATTCATCTAAGTGCTAGTGTGAACGGACGGTTTCTATTAACTTCAATGTGAACCTTGGGTAAAAAAGCAGAACTGAAGAATGTTTGAAAGAAACACCACAACACTACAATGCATCTTATTAATTTGTTGTTTGTTTGAAATAAAATAAAAATGAAATAAAATAAAATAAATGTTCTTATAATAATACAAACAATATTATTATCGTTGTGGGTGTAGTCAGGGCCTTGAGAAATTATGTTTTATAGTTTTAAGTGATTTTCACTAAAGTAGATCCTACCGATTTCACTAAATAATTTGATTCGATTGCATTCTTTCTCAATTTAATCTCCTTTGGAAACAATACCCCAAAAAAAAACTCAAAGTAATTAATGGCTGGCTTACACAGCAGCGTTAAGGTGCAAGACCACAGCAACCAGCCATTCATCCTCATGAAAGATTATTTCAATAAGCATCGTAATATTTTACTGTCCTTTTCAAATACAACAACTGTACGGCAAACTAGCCACACAAAAATATTATGGAAACCCCCGGTTGTATAAAGCCAATTCATTAAATGAGAATGTGTCAAGTACTTCTATGTCAGGGCAAGCAAACAAGCTAAACGACACCAATATGAAACTCAGAGATGCATATCATCTGTTATCATTTTGGTATAGACTGATATTAGTTAAGACATCAATTTGATGTGTCAGTCCTAGTCGATATTGCTGGCCGACATTTAAATTTCACCAATATTCAAAGTTAGCAGGACCAGGGCAAAAGACATAACTACTACAATAATGGAGACGACTGCACTGAATGATCAGTCATTTTCTGTAGTGGAAATTGAGAGATTCTTTCGCTCATTTACCACTTAGAGAACATTTTTAAATCATTATTAAATCTGATGCACAGAGCAACCCTTTGTTTTCTATAGTATTAAAAAAAAAATAAAACATGTAACGTCATTCCACTAATCTGCACCGACAAGCTTAGCGAGGTTCACCACCAGCGAGTGTCTCAGCGTTTAGCTGGATATCGGTATAGGCAAAACTAGAGAGAAATATATCGGTACTCGTCAAAATTTCCACATTAGTTGACCACTTATGGAACTATACAGCATTTTAACTACAATTAATGTTAAGATAAAGTAGTTCAATTAAAACATTAGTAGTTACAAAACTGATAAAGGTACTGGGTTAGGTCTGACACCTGTGAACTGTAAAAGTTCTAATATCCAGAGAGGATAACTATACACAATCACTTGTCAGAATTAACTCAGACTTACCTTCAACTTCCTCTGTTCAGCACCATGCAGGTGTGTTCAGGTGGCAAGGGAAGAGTACACAGCATGAAGCAAATTATATTGCCAGTGATATACAGAAAATGGAGGGAACAGGCAGATGCAAATAATAGACAAAACACGTTAATGAACAGAAAAAAAGACCAGATGCAAGATCAAAGCATGAAAAGCTAAGACTTCATATGTCATTCTGTGCTATATATAATAAACCAATTTCATAAAATAATAATCTGGGGGCTATTTCAGGCATATGGTCGCAAGTTATCGCCCCATGCCAAAACAAATTAGCAAAATGTCCTGAAGATTATTTGATAGTTTTACAGCTGCAACAAACTTTTACTGAAAAGGATGCAACAAGGAAAAAATGCAAACTAATTACTCTGTAACACACCATTTTCAGGATCTTAGCATTAAGCAGCTTATGTCCAATACAAAATAATTTAAATTTAAGGTTACAAATCTGTTGCCTCCCAAATAAGGCTGGGCAGAACAGTATAGAATCATTCTGCCGTATACCCCATCAGTAAAGTGGCGTATATACCCACAGCCTAGGCTGCTTCCTAACACAGCAGTCTCCGTTAAATAAAGGCTCATTTTCACTACAAACCAGTTAAAAGAAATGCCCTGTAATGTATCTGCCATTCATGCTCTATCATTTTAAATGTAAAACATTTTAACAATCAAGCACAAACACAATGTACATATGTTTAATAATGTGCATTAGAGCATGATTGTAATTACACAGACTAAAAATAATTGGGGGAAAATAAAACAGCAGAATATTGGGAATTGTGTTACCGTTAACTGAAGGAGGCATGCACAAGAAATAAAGAGTTATAAGCATAGGAAAAAAACGTCAACTTCCATACAGTTTCACAGGAGAATGATTTTATGCAAATTTAAAAGTACAAAATGGCTTCACTTTGCCATAACTGATTTCAAAAACTTTTCAAAGCTTTAAAACTTTATTGCTGTATTCAACCACCAGCTGACTATATTGCAAGCTAAACTATTGCAATCACACAACCCCCCACAAATTAATGCTAATGTATGGGTTAAACATTGCATCCATATTAATCCTGTTATCTTTTTTTCTGAAACAAATTGACTGCTATGCCATTAAGGACTAACCTTTCTCCAATATATCTTCAGCACCATCCTCCCAAGGATCTTCATCTTCGTATTCATCATCCACATCTAAAAATAAGAGGAGAAATTAGTTTGTACTACATATTTCGGAGCAATGGACAGACCAATTTTCACAGAGCACAATCAACATCACACAAGCAATCTTACCAGCTTCATCTAAGATAAAGCCTCCATATTTTGGTTTCTTCCTGGGCCGATCATCATCCTCCTCCTCCTCCTCCTCTTCATCATACTCATCCTCATCTTCCTCTATGTCTTCTGCATCTTCCTCCCCTTTGTCGCTGCCTGCAATGCTGCCTTGCCCCTCTTCCTCCTGCCGTAAATACACAACTTGTTAAGTGATACAGTGCCACATAATGTTCATGTTTTGGTGTATTGTGCATTTGCTTCTCTCATCTTCATTTAATGTATTTCTATAATTTGTAACGAAAACACAGAAACCAAAGCTATATGTTATACATGCAAAATAATTCCAATTAGTTGCAATCTGACAATTACCTCATTTTCATCGACCTCTTCGGCTTCGCTGCTGCGTTCGCTCTGATTGTCAGAGAAATCACTGTCCTCGCTATCCGACATCCTCTTTAAAAAGAGCAAGCAAAACGTTCATGCGTTAACGGCTCCTGTTAATATTACTAATAATAATCATATGCACATTCAAAAACGACGTACAGTACTGGTCAAATGATCTGAAATACCTAGATTTACATTCCCACCTGTTAACCGCCACTGTGCAACGAGGATAGTAATTTTCTACATTTTACTTACACTCATATACACTAAACGAAAATGTTAAAACGAGAAGCTACAGAAGATACTTTAAATTAAGTTACACACGATCGAAAGCACACTATCGCCAAGCGGAGGGGAACTTGCTGACCCATGCCTGTATGCTACGGTTTCTACAGATCCTTAGGTCAAGGAACACATTAACTACACAAGTGTGTACTTCGTAAATTCATCAAAACAAAATTTTGTACATTAAGACGTATCGGTGCCGCTTGGAAGAAGCCAGTTCCTATATGCTAAGCGTGCGGCCTGCAATGCTAATGCCGTTACTTCTTAAATCAAATGCAAATATAATATGGTATATTTCAATGTTTTGTGAATTAATATGCTGATACTCAATATACCATGATGGTCTGAATAATAAAACATAATTACATACCTTTCGTAGCTTTCTATTTTTTGTAACAATACTCAGTATAGGCTAATCTGTTCGTCGCTCTTGTTTCCCAATGCGCAACGACAGACACAAACTATCGCGAGAACTCCAATACCTCAGTTCTCACGGGATTTCGTGTCAGTTTGAACAGGAAGTGAGGTAATTTTTTGGTAACAGACCGGGATATCAAACGTTTGTGAAACTAATCGGAGTAAAGTAAGTGATGGTTTCGATATTTGTCCGACGTTTGCGGAGATCCAGTTTACTCCATTAAAACATAGGAAAAACACTCAAAACCCGCGTTCACAAGGCACGTGTGCTGTGTTTTCCATAATGTATTGTTGTGGTTTTTTCCTTCCCCGCCAATCAGGAGTCAGGAGCCGCTTGTGTAGATATTCAGATTCAGCCTTTATTGCAAAAATGAAGTTACAACCAAGGTCGGACACTTACAAGTGTGTCCAATAATGTTTTACACCAATTTTTATACATTTTCTTGTTGTGTAACAATACCTCGTCACTTAAGCATCATCATTCCCTCAACCCTTCACCATCGTTGTTTTCTCCCTTAATCCACACCCCTATATGATAAGTTTGTCAATCATCTCTTTTACTGCTTGGTGCCTCGGCTGAACATGACGGTGGCGTGACCATCTCTACTCAGTATTTCTGAATACCCAGCCGTGAACTTTTGGTGAACTCAGGCGAATCCCTTCCTTCAGTAGCAAACCTTGGCAGCTTCTGTTTGTTGCAGATTGTATGGCTAGGAGGTTAATAAGATATTTGTTCTTCAACATAAGCTGCAGCACTAATAAAGTACATATTCATACATTAAAGGCGAACAAAATAGCTAACAGATACAGAAACTTCTAATCCAACACAAGGTGCTAATTCATACTTGTTTTTCATCACATTGTGCACAGCAGTAATTGGTCTGCATTCTCTAAAGATTACAAGGTCAGTCTCTATACAGTTTACATCAGCTTCTTAATAGAGTCCTAATGATTACATTTTGTATGCGTTATGCAGTGCTAAATAATATTCCATATATTTTCCCCCTTTGGGACTCACATGAGTCCCACACACAATCCTGTCCATCCAGCCTAGGAAGGAGGGCAAAAACCCTGAGCTTCAGGGGAATTCCACCCCCTGCTCACCAAAGGCATGGCCCCCCTTCGGGGTCCATGGCTGGCATGGCTCACAAACTACCAACGCTCAGATTCAGACACCCGCGATATAGTGGCTTCTCCAGTAAATAGTGGAGAGAACTGCCATGTAATAAACTCTCCAAGATATATTGCATACACTATCCACATAACCTACCAAGGTTATGCCAGGCCACTGCTTCGCAGCAGTCTCTCCATTCCGTCTGCCTCCAGGACACGAGCCAGAACCGCCTTTATTGCCAGGAGCTTCCCCATAGTTTCCTCCTTAAATACTCTCATCCACTTTCCAGCCCCGTCTGCCAGGACTGCGAGTCTGAGAAGCAGAGCCTCCAGATCCTGTCCTGCCCACAGCACATACTGTGTCTGAGCTCCTTTCACCACCAGGGGGAGCATCGGCGTGTCCCTATCAGAGGCCTCACAGCCCTCCTGCTTCTCACTGGTCTATGATCTGCATTATCCTCCTCTACTCCTTCCTCACTCTGCTCCTTCTCCTGAATCTGACTCCATCCTCTACATGGAGGGTTAGGGGTGTCCAGCAGGTGCACCAGCCCTCCTGCATCACTACCACTTGCTCCGTACTCCACCTTTATCTCACTCCCTTTTTTCTCAGACCCACATGCCTGTCCTTCTGTCATTGCCTCACAACTTAAAATAAACAAACAGACTCCCTCTCTCTAGGATGGAACTTCTGAATCACTTTCACTACACAGGCTCTCTCTGGCCTTTTTCTACCGCAACTATGTCTTTACCTCAAAAACACAATACTTCTGCTCCACAAAAATGAACGGACCCCTCTCTTTAGGGCGGAACAACAAATAGACCCCCTGTCTCTAGGGGAATACAACTTTTACTTCACAAAACAGACCCCCCTGTCTCTAGGGTAGTGTCTCTAAATAACTTAACACACGGGCCTCCCAGGCCTCACAACAGTAACTCAAAAACCTTTAGCTTAGACCACTCCCTCTCTCAGGCAGTTACCTTTAAATCACTATTAACCCTCCAAGGCCTCTTTGCCTTGAGACAATATCCCAAACCCTCAGATTTCTCTGGGGCAATATCCACACGTGACCCTTCCTTTAGGGATTTCTCTCACACCACACACACACTGGGCCCACTGAATACTCCACAAGCGGTATTCTCCTCCCCCTAGTTCTTTTCTGGTTGCCGAGTCCCCTTACCGGGAAGTCCTGCCTGGTGGCTCCTCCGAGACACCCCCGTCTCCTTTTCCCTGTTCTATTTCCCTATCTTTTCACGCAATAATGAAACCCCTTTACCTATCCTTAGGGCACCCCCTTCAGTGTAGACGGCTGTGCTCCGGATCCTCCGCCAGGTGATCGCCTCCCAGGGTCTCTTCTCCGATCCTGTTCGTGACGCCAAATTATATGTTGTGTTTTTTTCCTTCCCCACCAATCAGTAGTCAGTAGCCGCTTGTGTAGATATTCAGATTCAGCCTTTATTGCAACAATGAAGTTACAACCAAGGCCGGACACTTACAAGTGTGTCCAATACTGTCTTACACCAATTTTTATACATTTTCTTATTGTGTAACAATATCTCGTCACTTAAGCATCATCATTCCCTCAACCATTCACAATCGTTGTTTTCTCCCTTAATCCACACCCCTATATGATAAGTCACATTGTGCACAGCAGTAATTGGTCTGCATTCTCTAAAGATTACAAGGTCAGTCTCTATACAGTTTACGTCAGCTTCTTAATAGAGTCCTAATGATTACATTCTGTATGCGTTATGCAGTGCTAAATAATATTCAATAGTATCATTTTCTTCTAGAACTAAAGCAATAAGTAACTAAAATTTTTAAGTTCAGGTTGAAGATATGTACTTTGGTATGGTATGGTAAAAACATATGTACTTTGACATTTGTGAAACCTGCATCTTACACTTACCTTAGTCAGAACCACAGGGGGCTCAGGAACCTGGATTTATTAAGCTTATATAATTATTAATAAAGTTTAAATAATAGTTTTAGGATTAATGCAATGTTTCATATTGCAACCTTTATAACACTTACATTTGTGTCCTTAAAGACCGCATGTTCAAACCTAATGCGATGCCATTGTAACAGCTCTACAAATGTTTCTTTCAGGAATCGGTATTGCAGATAGAGGGACACTTTGTAATAGAGTCTCTCTTTGTAAGCAGAAAATTAGGTGAATTTTTCAAAGAAATGTGAAAACGATGTATTAGACTATAACTACACCTATTATCTTCATTGACTGTATATACTGTAGATTTTACAGAGCCCAGAAGTCCCATAAGATTTTTTTTTTATCTTGGGCGCACAAGTTATTTATCTTGTGGGAACAAGATGATTTACTATAAATTCACATGCATCTTCAAGGACTTCACTTTATTAATAATTATATAAGCTTAATCAGGCATCATATAATGGGCAGTTCAGCTAATCAAGTTTTATTTTCACATTGGAAAGGCGCTTTGCATGGATGTGTTGTGATTAAACATCATTAGAGAGAGCAATGCGAAACGGGAAAAAAGAAGGAAAGAAATTAAGTAAATAAAGCCAGATGGAGGAACCAAAAACTAACAAATAAGGAGAAAAAAAGGGGGGTCCAAGGTTGACTGGCTGCCCGACCCCCCCTGGGCAGACTAACATTACTGAAAACAGAAAAGAGTGGACTTGTTTGCTAAAAGCTCAGTATAAGCTGTGACTAAGAATCAAGACAAAGTCCATCAATGAGTCTGTTATCTACACTGACCTGTGTAGGGTGGCCAAAGTCCATCAATGAGTCTGTTACCTATGCTGGGCTGTGTAGGGTGGCACTGAAGGCTGCACCCATGATGACACAGTCCGTAGGTCCCATTCACGATGGACCTGTGTCTCTTTGGGTGAAGTAGTGCTTCTTCCTGAGATGGTGACCACAGCCTTTTGTCATCATCAGTTCTTATTAAATATATTTTGGTAACACTGTACCAAAGGTGGGTGGCCTGGTGGTGCAGTGGTTAGTGCTGCTGCCTCACAGCAAGAAGGTCCTGGGTTCGGTCCCACGTCCTTGGGTTCGGTCCCACATTCCACTGTTCCATCAATCTGTCCAATCAGGATATCCTTCTTCAGTGATTTTTCCCTCCTAATTATGTGTCCAAAGTAAGCGAAGTGCAATTTTATAATCCATGATTCAAGCAACGTTGTCGGCTTGGTCTGTTCCAATATCCATTTGTTTGTCCTTCTTGTTCTCTATGATATTGACACAATTTGTCTCCAGCGCCACATTTCGAACACATCAATCCGTCTCCTGTGCTGTCTCTTCATTGTCCAGCTTTCACATCCATATGTGGCTACCGGAAAGATCAAGCTATGTGTGAGTTGTATTTTTATCAACACGGAAATGTCATTTGATTTGAAGACCTCATCCAGTGACTTAATTGTCGCCAATCCCATGGCGATCGTTCATTTGATGTCGTGTCAATGATCACCAATGACCAAAACAGGCTAAAGTCCTTGACCACTTCTGTTTTGACATCATCCAGTTCAAACGTATCTCGATTGTATTTGTCAGTTGTCAGTATTTTAGTTTTATTTGTCTTGTGGAAGAGTCCCATAACGTAGCTTTCTCTCTTGACTTTCCTCAGTAAATCCTTCATACCTTCTGAGCTGCTTGCTATCAACGTGGCATCATTGGTATGTGGTAGAAAAATCCATGATTATGCAAATCCAATGCAAATCAGTAATTAATAAAGAAACTTATGATGACACTGTTGATTCAATTAAGATGATTGTAACAATTAACTTCTGCCTTGAAACATTTAATATACTAAACATATAATGCAAGCTTCCTTAAGTAATAGGTTTTCATTTTTAGGTAAGAGGAACTAACGCATTTTGGTATGATTCTGCAAAAAGATCAAGGTACAGACCTGACCTGAGAAGTACAGCTGCTGCAGAAAACATTTATAAGAAATGTATGTATATTAAGGTTCAAGATTACGTGAAAAGAGAACCAAGGAATAAGTGAGATGAACTTATTTGAACAGGGTAATGAAATCACAAGAGTGCTCATGAAAAGGTCAATCCTGCCTTTACCTGATAATCGGTCCAGTTTAACAGAAGTAACTGGTGTCTACAGATATTTCACCCCCTCCCTGAACTGTCTGTAAACTGCTGCGTTTTGGCTTGTATTAGGAGGAACTTGCAGACGATTATGTCGCCACAAAGAGCAAGTTGAGGGAGGCGTAGAGACAATTTCCCCACAGGGATTAATAAAGTATCAATTTTATTAGATATTTTTAGAATTAATTATTGCCCTCCTGTTACTGTCATACATATGAGGTGATTGAGGTATTGATTGATTCTGATCATGTTTGGACTAATCATCCTGAGATTCAAATACATCGTCCATGATTCACCCATAATATTACTGTGCCAAGGTCGAACTACATAAACATGTTTTTCACAAAATACATTGTTTCTCATGAAAGGAGCTAAGATGCTTATCTTGTCCTAAAAATCCTTGTTCTGGGATGCTTACCCTGTTCAAGGATGCTTGTCTTGTTAATTTATTTTATGAGATGTTTACCATGTTTTTCTGAGGGGTTTACCTCGTCCTCAGGAGGAAGAGAAGGTGTTGCTCAAGGGCACTTGTCTTATTATTTCTGATTGAAATCTAGCGGTCGGGTTGTGGGACGCTTACCTCATCCTCAGGAAGAGGGGAATGTGTTGATTTTATAAATAAAAAACTTGTCTTATTATTTTTTATAGAAACTGCAAGCTGCATTACCTGGACAAAATTGGAAAATTGCGAATGCATTGCCTGAGGGGAGGGGTGAGCCTGGCCAGCTCGTCCCCTCCCTGCATGCTGTGCTAAAATTAGTATAAAGGAAGGGGGAGATCTCAGTGTTGACTGGAGCTCAGCCGTGGGATAGAGCGCGCATCGCCCAGCATTTCTCGGGACTCGCATGTTGGTCTCCTGCCAGGACTGAAACGGGCTCCCCAGTCTAAGAGTGAAGGTGGGTGATGATGCCACGTCCGAGTGTAAATAGCTTGCAGCATCTTTTTGATTATTGAGATTACTTATCACAGTCTATAGCAGGGGTCACCAACCTTTTTGAAGCTAAGAGCTACTTCACGGGTACTGAGCCATACAAAGGGCAACCAGTTTGATACACTCTTCTTAAATAACAAATCTGTTGTTTACCTTTAGTTATATATTATTATTATTATTAATGATCTCATCTATGTGAAGACACTGATCACGTTTATGATTATTTTAGACGCTGCTTACTGGTGAGTTGTGCTAATTTTAGAACAGGTCCGCAGGCGACTCATGTGGTCCTTGAAGGCATCCTGGTGTTGCGATCAGATGGACTGGCATGTGTCTGTCTGAATTAACACTGAGTGCCCGTTGAAACATTGAAGGCAACGTGGGCTGTTTTGGTCTCACCTGCACTTGAGCGTAAGTGACTTGTCATATTAGATGTATTGCCTTGAGCATACGGCACTCGCATCAAACAAATTTTACATACAGTGACTGTTTTGTCAACATTTTTTTTTTACCATCGCTGCTGTAGCATATTGGAAACCCAAAATGCTGCCAGACAGCAGACTTATATGAAGCTGGCGGTGGTTCTATTTGCACCTTGTCTCCTCCGCTTGCCATGTTGGACTGTCAGCACTAAAACACACCAGCACGTTTTGTCAGCAACATATTTGCATACTGAGAGTTGATTGGACAGGCCCTCTCACATGAAACGCATGTGAAGTGTATTCAACCAAACAAAAGCGTCATTTTTATGTATTGTTATTTTCACCACCAAACCACATAGCACTGCGGTGCACAAGTGTGCTGAACCGTGGGAGGAGAACGGTACGGTTCGATTTTTTACAGAGAACCGTTGCACCCCTATTAAATACATAGGACAAGTCGAAATAACAGGAGACAGCTGATAAGAATCAGGAATTCACACGAGGTTGATGGGGGGGGCGTGGCACACAGGAGGATCGTACAAGCAGGTCATGACAGAACCCCCCCCCCAAGGCATGCCAGGAGGAGGCTATGGTTTTCTGGTTATCCTTATGATCCATCAGATGTCAGCTATGATATCTCTAGTTCCTCTGTCCATTCTGAAGCTTGCTCGTTCTTCCGGTAGTTCCCTTTCTACATACACCTTCTCTTCCTCCTGAGGACGAGGTAAACCCCTCAGAAAAACATGGTAAACATCTCATAAAATAAATTAACAAGACAAGCATCCTTGAACANAGAACCGTTGCACCCCTATTAAATACATAGGACAAGTCGAAATAACAGGAGACAGCTGATAAGAATCAGGAATTCACACGAGGTTGATGGGGGGGCGTGGCACACAGGAGGATCGTACAAGCAGGTCATGACAGAACCCCCACCCCCTATTGTTGTCATTGTATCAGAAATACAACTAAATTTGTTTGGTAGCTCACGGCTCAGCAGCAAAGAGGTACATTAATGTACCACATTAATACAGAATACAGTCTCGTAGACATGGTATAAATATGAATAAAACCTAAGATAACTATTAATAACATACAATATTAAAAAAAAATCCTAAAATTATTTACAGATTATAGGTATTTACAAGTCAATGTGATGTAAAGTGACCAAGTGCATATCAGCAGCAATACAGAGGTGTGGAAGTGATTTAATGGTCAGTGTTCTCTAGTGGGAAGGGTTGTGACGGAGGCCACTGCTCTCGGGAAAAAGCTGTTCCTCCGTCTGTTTGTTCGTGACTTGATGGTCCTGAATCTTTTGCCCGATTGGAGGTGGACAAACAGTTTGTAAGCCGGGTGGGTGGGGTCCTTGATGACGTTGCTAGCCTTCCTACATAGTCGGCTAGCATAAACATCGTTCAAATCGGGGAACTTGATACTCACAATCCGCTGCGCAATCTTAACTATCTGGTTCTCTGCAGTGCAGCTGGAGTACCACACTGTAGCCCCGTAGCAGAGAATGCTCTCTAGTATGCTCCTGTAAAAGTTAACAAGGAGCTGAGTGGGAAGTCTGGCTTTTTTGAGTGTTCTTAAGAAGAAAAGTCTCTGTTGAGCTTTCTTCACCAGGTAAAAGGTGTTAACAGTCCATTTCAAGTCCTTTGAGATGTAGATCCCCAGGAATTTGATGTTGTTAACCCTCTCCACTTATGTGGAGGGGGGGTGTCGTTTTCCGGGATCTCCTAAAGTCCATAACAATCTCCTTTGTCTTGGATGCATTCAAGACAAGGTTGCTGTCTGAGCACCACTGTACCAGGTCTTGCACCTCCTCCCTGTAGTGGTTCTCATCGTCTCCTGTTATCAGTCCCACTACCGGGGATGTCATCTGCAAATCTCAGTATGGTGTTGGAGGTGCGGATGGGTGTGCAGTTGTGTGTGAACAGGGTGAAAAGGGCTGGGCTGAGGATACAGCGCTGTGGTGCTCCTGTGCTCAGTGTGAGAGTGGATGATATGCGGTTTCCCACCCTGACATTTTGTGGTCTGTTGGTGAGAAAGTTCAGAATCCATGAGCAGATACTGGTGGTTAGCCCCAGGTTGGTGAGCTTGGTAATCAGTTTGTGAGGGATTATTGAGTTAAAGGTGGAGCTGAAGTCAATAAATAACATTCTGGCGTGTGTGTCGGGATGCTCCAGATGAGACAGGGTAGCGTGAAGTGCAACTGAAATTGCATCTTCTGTTGACCTGTTTCCGTGGTAAGCAAACTGATGGCTGTCCAGATCAGTGGGAATGCTGGCCTTGATGTGCGCGAGAACAAGCCTCTCAAAGCACTTCACGGCAATCGGTGTTAGAGCAACAGGATGATAATCGTTGAGACATGTGACTGCTTGCCTTTTGGGCACTGGGATGATGGTAGTGGTTTTGAGGCATGTGGGAATTATAGCTTCCTGCAGAGACAGAATAAAGATATTTGTTAGCACCCCTGCTAGCTGATCAGCACATGACTTCAGTGTGCAGCCTTGTACCCTGTCTGGTCCTGCTGCTTTGGAGGCGTCGACCCTCCCCAGGGTTATTCTCACCTGTTGGGGCTGTAAAACAAGCGCCGACTCCTCCCTGGGTGGCAGATGTATTTGAGTGCCCTCATTGTTGTTGTGGGTGTCAAAGCGTGCAAAAAATCGGTTCAGGGCATCAGGAAGTGATTCATCGTGATTTGTCAGCGAATCACGCTTCTTGTAGTCCGTAATGGTCTGGATGCTTCTCCACATACTCCACATATCTCTCATATATAATCTATATCTTGCAGTTTCTCTCTGCTCTCTACCTAATTTGCTTAAATAATATCAACTGCCCATGTTGTACAAACAACAAATGCACTGACAAAAGCTGGGGTACACCTAGACGGGACTCCCGGCCATTACCGAGTGCACACATGCATACTAGGCAGGGGTGGATTGACACGGGGGGCAAGAAGGGGCAGCTGCCCTCTCTACTGTGTGTCTTTTCAGTTGCTAAAACTGTAATCATAAAAACGGAATCGCCACTGCATCCATAAGCTGCTCAAACCACTTCAACAATTAGAGTCTGTTACTGTAATCTTAATCAAAGGCAGGTTGAAGTCGCTCGCTAAACGGAATTGAAAGACGTGATTTCTAGGAGCGTTTTAGTTTTAATCAGCAAAGCAGTAGTATGCTTGAATCCATGACGTTTAAGCTGTGAGTTGCTCCGGCAAGTTGCTTCTCAGCATGGCATAAATAAACTTGGGGAAGTGTGTTTTAATCTTTCATAGTTGCTCTGGCACATTTCTTGTAACATGCCTAACTTTCTCAAGACTATGTCTCATGTCAAAGTTATCAAACATTTCAAACACCAAAAAAAAAACTGTACAGGTAACTCCCCCCCCCAAAGAAAAAAAAAATCCAGAATGTTGAGTAAGCATTCAATTAGACAGATTCTGTAAAAATATTTAGATAATATATTTTATATATTGTACACACAAATATGATCTGGAAACACATGATTAACTTATATGTTATATTCTGGGCAACAGTTAAAGCAGATTTCTTGAGTGTAGAAATCTATTTAAAAAAAGAAAACATTTATTATAACCATTTATTATAAGTCAGATAGAGGCGTAATCGATATGTTCTGACAAAGCATTCTCAGCTGCGTGCACATGTTGTCCCATAGGATGATGCATAGTCTGCTGCGAAGGATGCATTCCATTTTTCTAAAGTGCCTTGGAGTGCTTCTGTTATTCATCTGGATAATATCCATCCATTCATCTTCCAGATGTTTGGGTAAAATCTCTAATGACATGAGAAGGGGACTAAAGTGTTACTGGTGCCCTGTAAGAGAGAATGGGTCCAATACAATTCTATAAAAAGACAGGGATTAGATTGATTATTAGACTGGATGAAAACAAAAAAGGAAATATATATATTTTTTGCCTAATATCACAATCATTATATTATGCATTTTCTTTAATGCTTGAAAATCAAATTATGGCAGATAGTGTAAAGGGAATTCTCTTTGTCTTCATGGGATGCACTCTAGGCGTTTCTATTGCTCCGTGAATTATTTATTATTATTATTTTTAGAAAGCAATAAAAACAACAAAACACTTGAACACAGGTAATCAGGGATGCTTTACAATATTCACTTTTCACATTCAATATTCACAGAAAAATAATGAAAGATTAAAGATAATGAACGTCAGTGAAGTCACCTTTATAAAACGCATCGATAAACTGTCAGTAAACATTTGTAAACTTTGGGCCTATCACTTTCAATCACGCATGTATGCATAATGGCATGATAAGACACTGCATAACAATGTGATGCATTAAAAGTTACGACAAAAATACAGAAATGTCTGCAAGGTAGATTTTATGGACGAAAGTATTGGGACACCTGGCTATTACACCCACAGTAACTTTCATGGCATGCCGTTCTGAATCCATAGGCATCAATATGGAGTTGCCCGCCCCCCCCCTTTGCAGCTATAACAGCTGCCACTCTTCTGAGAAGGCTTTCCACAGGATTTTGGACTGTGTCTGTGGGAACTTTTGCCCATTCATCCAGAAGAGCATTCATGAGGTCAGGCACTGATGTTGGATGTGAAGGCCTGGCTCATAATCGCCGTTCTGGATCATTCCAAAGGTGTTCGATGGGGTTGAGGTCAGGGCTCAGTGAGGCCAGTCAAGTTCTTCCACACCAAACTCTCCCAACCATATTTTTATGGACCTTGCTTTGAGCAATGGGACACAGTCATGCTGGAACACCAAAGGGCCTTCCCCAAACTGTTCCCACAAATTTGGAAGCATAGAATTGTCCAACATGTCTTGATATATGGAAAGCCTTCTCAGAAGAGTGGCAGCTATTATAGTCGCAAAGGGGGGACCAACTCCATATCCAATTCCTATGGATTTAGAATGAGATGTCACAAAAATTCCTGTGGGTGTAATGGCCAGGTGTCCCGATTCTTTTGTCCATGTAGCACGGTTGGGGCCATTCCGGAATGTATTCATCAATTCCAGTCCAAATCAGGAAATGGAACTGGAGTTGGGATTGGAAAAAAAACTATGAAGAACAGAATTGGAATTGAATTCGAATTTCAGGGAGATTTAAATTCCAACTCCAGTTCTATTTTCTGATTTGGATTGGAATTCACGAATGCATTCCAGAATGGCCCCATGCAGTGTATATACAGAATTCAAATGAGGTATCTCATGCGTGACCATTACATTACTTATCAGTCAAGGAAATGGTGTCCATCCCTGATAAGCCCACACACTGTTTTAGAACAGTTATGCCATTTTCTTTTTGGATTTTAACTTGCACTGATGCCAAAATGTCTTTTTTTCCAATCCCCTCCCTAACTGGGTAAAACCCAACTTCATTCCTATCCCCAAAAAACAATTTGCTCCCTTCTCCCAACAGTGTGTGACATAGTGTATACATTAATCACCGCTAAGGAATTTAGGAATTCACTTCAACAAGCATTTTGACTACTTTTACATATTTTCTGTCTGGTACCACTGGTTGATTAAGCACTACTCACTGAAATGTATTATAGTCTGGAGTTGGAAATCCTCACTCAAAAAAACTTAAATACAAATATAAAATAGTTTTCCTTTTAAGCAGCTTATCATTTTTAATCAAAATACTGATGTGACATTTTATAATGGACATAAAGACACAATAATATTCAATATTTCATAATACGGATGGATATAGCAGTAACATAAATTGGTATCAATGCACATTATGTTTGACACGGTTAAGATCTTACTTTTCTAAATGTTTAAGATTAAGATCAAATGTTTGATATAGGGGTGGCCGCTGTTTCAGAAAGGGCCGCTGTGTGTGCAGGTTTTGGCTGCAACTCCCTAATCACATTATTAAACCCTGCTAGACTGGCTGAAGAGTCCTCACACCTGGGTTTGGACAGCTGACCTAAATGTTACCCCAAAAACCCGCGCACACACTGGCCCATTGCGGATACGATTGGCCACCCCTGATTTAAGATTCCCATAAGGTACCTCAATTCCCGGCCTGCATTTTCGATAATTAAATGGGCCAATATTCAGCTTCCATTAAATGACTTGTCCTCCCACGGAAGAATGACAGTTAGCCACATCCGCTGTTCATCATCTCGAGGACCGTTTTTAATTCAAGTAGAAACTCCTCTGCTGGTTTTGCATCATGGACCTCACACTGGAGACAATGTTCTCTATCCTTCTGTCACACAAAAAAAGTTAAAAATTAACATGGACGAAAGTATTGGGACACCTGCCCATTACACCCACAGGAACTTTTGTGACATCTCATTCTAAATCATTGGTATGGATATGGAGCTGGTTCCCCCTTTGTGGCTATAACAGCTGCCACTCTTCTGGGAAGGCTTCCCATAAGATTTTGGACTGTGCTACAGGATTTTTTTTTGTAAAAAAAAAAACAAATTAAAGTGTTGCTCACACTGATCAATGGCTGCAGTCAGGGGCATAATAATAATAATTTTAATAATAATAATAATCATCATTATTACATGCAGCTCCCCTGTAGCTGAGGGTAAAGGGCCTTGCTCAAGGGCCCACAGACAAATGACTATTCTGATGAGGCTGAGGCTTGGAACTGGCAACCTTCTGGTCACAGCACAGAGACTTAGCCCACTGAACCCATTGGGTCATGGTTTGGGATCACAGAAACTGTGTATCGCATACTGTAAGTAGGTATGCAAAATGGTACGATAAAGGTTTATATTTCTAACTGAAAGACTCACTTCTTTGTTGACAGACATCAGTCTTTTGGGCAAGTCTTTGAAAAGTCCTGGGTCCTGAAAAGCTTGATCTTCCTCAAATTCATATATTAGCACTTTCACTTCTTCTGCAAAGCATGTCAATGTGGAATTGGGACATTTCTGCTGAATAAAAGAGAATCGGACAAAGGCACAATGAATTATTCCGTTTTCAAGCACAATACAAAAATGAATGCAGCAATAAAGAAATAAAGTGGAAAAAAGTAAATACAAGAAGTATTTTGACATCAGTAAATAGCATTGGTTGACTTGGTAGAATAAAATTCTAAAATTTATTTAGATGGGCAACAAATGTCATATGAAACAATTCAAAGATAAAAAAATGCGGACATTTCAGTCATGAAAAGCAATGAACACGACACATGCATACGACACATGCACACGACACATGTTTGTGGTTGTCACGTATGTGGCTATCGGTTGTGATATCCTTGGTGCGTTTAAATTGGCCCTGTGAGTATGCACCCTGTGGTGTGTTTGTGACTGCCCAGGGTTGCTTTCTGCCTGTGCCCATTGTTCCTGCGATAAGCTCTGTGACCCCAGTTGGAAGTAAGCAGTTTCAGATAATGTACGGATGGAGAGTGACTCACCTCGTAGCTTGTCAAACTCGGGGTGTACAGTATGCATCCATAGGTGTCCTGATGGTAAGAAAATGCACAGACCCCTCTGCTTAGAGTTTAGCACTTACTGGTTGCGATGAATTTTACATTATCGGCCGTTATGGAAAAATTGGAAATGCATAGTGCAAAAAACAGAGATCTGAAAATCATATAATTTGTTACATATGAATAAATCACCACATTCTCTTACCACTCTGCGGATAGCATTCAAGTAATCTTCCACCACTTCAGTTATTTCTGTGCTGCACTGTGGGGTAACCTCAGCTATGCTTGTCCACATAGTAATCAAACCCAACAGAGCCAGTGTGTTGCAGAGGGAGCAGGTGAGCGGCTCTACCCTTCGTTCCTCTGGCATGGCACCGCCCTCGGTCATTTGGAGAAAAGTTTACATGGTCTTGTACGGCTCATCAGACAAACGTTTACTGGAATCAAGAAACCAGTGCATACTGCCCAGGATAACTCTGAAAATGCTATATCTGAGATCCAGAAAGGTGTACCGTAATGGGTAGAGGTTCAATAACTTCAGCACCCCTCCATTTATATGTCAGGCCTTTTCTTCCTGCAGAGGAATAAAAAAAATTTTAAAGTTCAGACACTGCATCCTTTTGGGGTCACTTATAAATCTACTTCATCACACACTAAAAGAGGAAATCTGTTTACAAAATTCCTGTCTGGCTGTGGAAACTCCTTTAGCTTCCTCCCACAATTCGAATGCCTGAATGTCCAGGAAGTCAAGGGAACATCCTATAGGCAGGATGCCAAACCGGAATGTTCTACAAATGCATTATAAAGGCATTATGAAGGTGCAGTTAATGTAAAACCTCACAGAATATTCACTGTGAGTGAGAAAACTATTCCATAGATTTTAGAAATGCTGTTGGGGAAATAATAAAGTTCAATGTAATCTTGTATTATCTAATCATTACGGTAAAAGGGGAAATAATAAAGTTCAAGTAGTCTTGTATTATCTAGTCATTACGGTAAAAGTCGGCCTAAGCTATCTGCAGTCTCCCGGCTGTGCTGTTTAATACATGACTTCATATTTTATATTTCACTTTTTCAGTCTTTTTCAGTGTTCTTACTTTGTTTAATTTTTGCAAAATTCATTAAAAAAAATCAACAGTACCTGAGCTCTTAATTCTTAATCCGCAGGGGGTCATGCTTTGCCATCGTGGGGGGGTACCACTGCCGGAAATGAAAACATATCACATATGGCCAGACAAAATGGCACTAACATAAGAGTAAATAAAAAAAACAAAAAATAAACTGTAAGTAAAGCACCAGTATGTTTGAATCTTTAACATATCCAGTCATCGATCTTCCAGCCACTTACTCTGGAGAGGGGGAGGAGGGCTTGGAACCTATCCTAGGCATAATCCTCAAGGCAGGGAGACACATGTACACACTCACACACTGTGGGCGTGTTAGAAATACTAGGTAGCCCAGGAGTACAGATACAGAGTGCGGACGGGATGCGAACCTGCAATTCTGGGCACAGTGGAGGATCCTGTCAAGGCCTAGACCAAGGTGGCACCTTCTTAACATTCTGACTTACAAACTCCGGTCAACAACTTTTTCCACTGCCACCCCCCCCGCTCGACAACTTTTGTGTGTGAAGCACAAGGACTATCCAATACGCCACTGCGCCTCCCATCTTTAACAAATCCACTTCCTCTAACACGAAATTAATACATATCTATAAAACACTATTACAGCTCAATCTTTCGAAAAGTATCTTAGTGGTCTTTCCAGTCATCCTCCTCCTTCTTAGAATCAGCAAATCTTATTTATCATCATTTTCCAACCTCTTGGCAAGACTAAAAGTGTTATTTGTCTAAAGAACATCAATAAAGCTCAAAAGAGGTTTCCAGAATATAGTTCTTCTAATCTGATTCATGGTGGCGTTAACGATAATTCAGAATGTTAAAGGATACCTCAACCCTGTCCTGGATAAGAGTTACGACAGTGGATGGATAGAAAAAATATAAAAGAATGTAGGAAAAAGGTCAATGTTATTTAATGGATTAAGGTGTCCTATGAATTCAAAAGATAATTTGATGGCTACTGAATAAAGAAAAACTTATTTGATTACTTATTTCACAGGCAGATATTGTAAGCCTGTTAAGTGTAGGAGTTTATAATATGAAAATTCATAGGATGCATCCGGTCTCCTTCATAAGTACTTGCAGTATACTTGTGCCAAAACTGAACTGGAAGACAATTGTTAATAAACGACCCAGAGGACTGGAGGAATGCAGAAGATCAACAAACTATGCAGAACTGCCTGTTTCCTTCCTGCAAAGAGTAGCAGCTTGCCAGCAATCCACCACTCCATTCTATACATTTTCCTGTTTATTTCCAAATTGCTTGTTAAAATTATTCAGATTTCAGTGAAACGTCAATGATTTCTGCAAAAGACTAACTCACATGGTTTCAACTTTGAAATTTCACTTTTGGATTTTATGAAAGAAAAATATTTCTCAATTTAATGAACTGAATCACTTGTATTTTGAAAATGACTTTGGAGAGAAGGTCAATAAAAGAC